TTTTTCTTTTTCTCTCTCTTTCTGGCTTTAATTTGATTTCTTTCCCGGTTACTTTGTGGTATATTCAAGTTTTCTTTTAAAACTCTTTTGAACTTTTATGGGGATGCTTTAGATAAAGTAGCTGAAAAACATAGTTTACATTTTCATTTTTAAACTGAGGACATTTAAGTCCTCTTTGAAGTCTGGCCTTCTGAACTTATCATCATCATCATCTTATTAATTTAAGCATGTCTTTAAAGTAATTTTGGTTATTAGAGTATTAAAAGACTATTTAAATTAAACAACCTACATATAAGAATTTTCTGTTTCCCATCCTACCTTGGTGGCTTCCTCCTTTCTATGAATAGACATTGAAAGGATTAGAGCTTTTTACTTCAAAAGAAAGCACATAAGAATAGACTTACTAATATATGACATGGAATGGTTTACTTTTGGGCTGAGGACAACAGGTTTTCCTTAGAATTTTTAACTGTAGATTTTAGTCCTTTATAACTTCTCTGAAGTATCTGGTGCTACACAAACACTTAAAAAGTGGCAAATGTCACATGTGTGCCTGTTCTGCATTTCTCTATTTCTCTGTGGCTTTTGTGTGAAAAATTTTAGCTTACTATGCCTCTCCTGCCTCACTGAAGGAACTAACCGATAAAATTCTGGCTCTACTGAGCTAGCAGAAATCCTACTGTTGTTTTTAGTGAGGACAGAATTGTTGCCTTTATTGCCTTTTTGTATAAAATGGCCTACAAACATAACACAACATAGTAGGTTTACTTCTATTACAACTTTTCTACGGATGTAGAGGTTTACCTCCTTCCAATGAATCAGCTAACAAGAACTAGCATTAACACTGAAGCCCAGCTACACTTAGGTTCCCAGTAGAGGAGCAATGAAACTAAAACATTTTAATTCAGTTCATGTCTTAAAAGGCAGTCAAAAATGGTATAATGGAAAAGACACTCTTTAGCTTTTGCTGATTTTTGCTTAACTCAGGTTACCATCCTTATAAAGCTAATCTTTAGAGTATATTATTGTTTATCGGGTTATTTTCCAGTGCACCAAATGTTGTTCCTGGCTAGTCTATTAAAGACACTGCATCAGTGCAGAATTTCAAAATGAAAGAGCAGAGAAAAAAGAAGAGGGTTTCAGTTTTGGCTTTTGTTTGTTTGTTGTTTTTTTTTTTTTAAAGAACTAACTAAAAAGATCACATTCACAGACTTGGATGAATTTACCAGTCACAACTGTATAACAGACCATATACACTAGCAGCATAAGGATAACCAGCTCAGATCCAAATTTAATTCAGCCAGAATCCTGTTGGCAAGAATCACCAGTAGCAGATCATTACAGAAAGTATAGAAGAAACAGAAAATAGCTGCAGTTGGTGAAAATTTTGGTGGAACAGTTTTATTATCTCTTGACGCCTACCGATGGATTAGATTCCTATCTGCAATAACCTTATAGTGACTGAGTACCAGGAACACATACACAATAAAGCCAGACCAATATGACTATAATATCATATAATGTTATAACTTAATAGAGATATTGTTATATAATGTTATAACTTAATAAGAGATACTGACAGGAAACAGACAAAACAGGGAAAAATACAACTTATTTTCTCTATTTTATGGATTTGATATTTTCTTCTTTTGTATATCCTTTAGGAATGTCCTGCTTTTGCAATTAAGAAAACAAGTGAGCTCCATACAAAAGCCTATGTACTGAAAGATCATTAATCAAATTCTCAGCTAAAATTAGCTGAGATCACAATTCTAACTACACAGAGAAGTGTTACCTTTCCCAGTTTGCTAAAAATCATGTTTCCATTTCCTCAAAATTTATGTCATTTAAAGAAAAAAAATACGTAATGATTTGCAGCAGTACTACATTTTTGAGATGAGCAGAAGAATTATTAAGACACAGCCACCAGGAGAGGAAAAGAGAGCTTACAGGGTGCTTACTGCTTAAGGAACTTGTGTCATGCGCCTTAAAATAGAGAGAGGAACTCAGTGATGAATCACTGGCACATCAAATAGTAAAGTGCACATGAGATGCTGCTTCAGAGATCTAAATCACATAGATTTCTGAAAAGGGAAAAATTCATGCTTTGTTTTCCCTTCAGGGATACATTAAGACACATCAGAAGAGATAACACATTATCTAGAACTGGGAACAGAAAAACAAGCACATGCAGTTGATGATAGACCATTTAATTCTGATGTTCTGAGCAAAGAATCAAGAATACACAAGTTACTTCCACTGAATTCTCTGTGGTCTTTTTCATTCTTTTTAACATTGCTAATACTGCAACATTTTTAATGTGACATAGTTATTGGAGAGTTCATGTGGTGTTCACTAACCTTTATGGAGAGTATCTTTAGGAAAGTGCCATTCAAAGATCTAAAACATTCTTTGGATTTCATATTACCTCTGAGTCAGGGTGTCAAAAGTTATTTATGTAAGTGCTAGCCCTAATTTGGGGAGTACGTAATTGCTTAAAATTGTGAAAGCCACATGATAATATAGAAAATAGCACTGAATATGTGTAACAATATATGAATATAAATCTCAAATTATCTGTCTTTAATTAAAATGCACTGAATTTTATGCACAATGGGGTTTCAACAAATAATAGGAAAAACCATGTAAAGACCTAAACATAATAAATCTGTCCCACACAGCAGAATAAAACTTTGAGATTTAACTTTTTATTCTGCCATTCCGATTTTGCTATACAGGAGGCCTATAAAATATTTTTACATCCCAAATTACTATTTTATAACAAATTCTGTATGAATAGTGTAAAATTTCCACATGAAAAACATTTATATCTCCACCGAGAATAAAACAGAAAAACAAGTATCCAAACCCAAATAAAATAATTCCTACAAGTTAGAATGAATGTCACCATCTACGTCAGAAAAAAAAAAACAACCCAAATTAAAAAATGATTTTAAAATTCCAATAATAATATCGCTTTGGACTAAAGCTTTTGCCATTTCCTTTTTAAAAGTAGTAGTATTTTTTACTCCTCTAACCTCAGCCAACGTCAGCTTACTTAAGGAAATCTCAATTCCTATTAGCATGCCTTGTTTTAAAAAGTCATTTTGAATCTTTCATTTTTCAAATTCTGTATAAATAGAAAACTCAAATATAGATTTTCAAAAAAGCTCTCCTTAAGTTACTGGCCAGCACAGGCAAAAGTACAACTGGATATAAGCTGTCGCTGAAAAAATGCAGATTGCATGTTACTACAGAGTCTTTAGCCATTAAAATAAATCAAATTGGAACAGCCTTTGGCAGAAACACTGGGGGCAAAGAAGTAACAACTCCAATTTAGCACTGACAAAGTTTATGAAAAAAGAATGATCTGATGCAAATCCCAGCCTAGCAGAGCACTGGACTTGATGACCCAGAGATCCCTTACACTGCTATGTTCTTTGTTTGGCTAGATGCAGATGTTAATCTGTTTTTCAGTCTCCCTGTGGTTTTTCTAAAGTGAAATTTAAATGAAAGTTAATACAGTTTTTGTAAGTTTCGGTTATAAATTACCCTTTGTAAGAATTGTCACAAGGCCTGCAGCAGTGTGGAACTTGTCAAAGAATCCTAAAAGCTTTACTTAAAGTTGGCTCAGCATTATACAGAAGTACAAAAGTGTAAGTGTTCAGAGACGACTGCCCACCAGGGCACACACCATGAGAAGATGTAACTGGTCTACTGGTAGGGAAAATAGGAAGAAAAATTAAGCAATACATGCTAGGACTGACGCATCAGTAATATCAGGGAAGAAAGCAAAACAGAACAGTACGCCAAAGAACATCAGAATATTAAAAAAAAAAGTACAGGGAAGGTGAAATATCATAAATACTTAATACCTTTCTAAAAAAAAAAGGAAAGAAAGAAGAAATTAATGAAAAATTCCTATTGTGTGGTGCCTGTGAAGAGTCAACACAAACTTGAAAGACAAAATGAGGAAATGTTTTGTTCAAGAGGAAGGTCACCTTTTAAGTGACAATCTAACACAAACTGCTCTCTCCCCCTCCCTCCCTTGTCTCCCCCATGCTCAGCTGCTGAAATTTGCCTAGAGTTAGCTGGCTTTGAAAGACCCTGTTTGGAGAGCCAGAGTCACAGTGTTAGATGCTACTGCACATTCTACAGGTGACTCAATATGGAAGAAAAAGCTCAAACTCAGAAGCAGAACTCTAAACTACTGCTTAAATCAACAACAATAATATGTAAACTTAAAAACAACCTGGTGTCCCTTGATAACATGCACCATCCTCCTGCCTTTGCTCAGATATTTCTTTAATTAACATAAGAATATTTTTTATGTCACAGGTAACTTACATGTATCATAGCAACTACAGAAAGTTATTGCAGACATACATCAGTGAGATTAAGTATAAGTAATTTATAGAAAACAACTCTTAATGTTTTCTGGTTTTGAAAAATAACTTATCAGAGCAGCTTTTAATGATTCTCAAATACACGTATCTTTACAGCTTCGATCAGCCATAAAAGCATGCAAAGGTCAAGCAAATACTTTATCTTATTTAAGACACTGTGGTCTGCTTTCTGTCACTCGCAAGTTCTAAGGTTTACACTCTTTCAAGGAGATGATACTGCTCCACAAGTCTTCAAAATAAAGGCTTTACACAAATTCTGTGACCCTCAATGGCTACGTATATAATTCTTCTAAATGAAACCCTGAGCCTGATAAATTCTAATACATGCTGATTCTTTGAAAGCAGAAATATTACTTCTACTAACATCGTAACTTCAGCATACACTTAAAAATTATCACCATTCAATTTTCAAGTGGCTTTGTGCAGACACGATCATATGCAGATGATTTTTAAATTCTATCCCTTTCTTGACATGAATAAATATGCAATTTTCCTGCAATTTTCAATAAACAGAGAAGTATTGCAGAATGCAAGTTCAACTAAACCTTCTAAGTTGACTGGAGAACAAACAGCCCTTACTGTGTGCCTTTGCAGGTATTCTAGAAATCCGAACAGTGGCGGTTGGAATAGTGGCAATCAAAGGAGTGGAAAGTGAATACTTTCTGGCAATGAACAAGTCAGGAAGACTCTATGGAAAGGTATGGATGCAAACTTCTCTTGTGTGTACAATCATCACGTGATAGATACATCTCTGTGGATGTAGTATCTGTACAGTTTGTATAAAACAGATTCCTAACAAATTAAAATGTCACCTGTATTTATCTCATACATCCCATGCTAGACTTTTATGTCCATGTAATAAATTCAGTGATTAGAGCTTAGATACTTTTAAAAAATGTGGAATACTGTGCGGGAATAGACAAAGCTAACCATTAAATACTGAGACTTCAGAAGTCAAATTAGTTATTAAAATATTAATATGTGGGATTTATAATTCATATTCTTTTCCCATCTTCCCTAATCTATACTCAAAAGACACCTGTACTTATTTTACTTTATTATTTCCTGTCAACAGAAAGTATGCAATGAGGACTGCAACTTCATAGAACTCATTGAAGAAAACCATTATAACACATATGCTTCTGCAAAATGGACACACAAAGGAAAGGAGATGTTTGTTACATTAAACCACAAAGGGGTCCCCATGAAAGGTAAAAAAACAAAGAAAGAACACAGAGCATCCCACTTTCTTCCACTGGCAATATCCTAATCACAAATGATCTATACAAAAACTAGTTCCAGCAGGAAGATTATTTTTAAGAAGACTATTTGACAAGTTACCAAGAGAGGCTGGAATACTACTGAGAAACTGAACAAGCTGGACTTGCGCATTTATCTTTATTTTTAAAAGACTACATGAAAAAGATTTGAAAATATACACAAAACCAGATTTACTAACTAAAAGTTGTAAAAAATTCTAAAGAGTTGTACAATCATTATCTTAGTCATTGTAACTGGGTAGTTTCTTAAATTAATTTACCCTGAAGAATAAGTCATTACTTGATTATCTGATAATATTTTATTTAAAAAACACTATCTGCTTCTTAAATATGGCTGCTATAATAATAATAAGCAGATGATAATGTTGTGTAAAATATGTCAGACTTTAAGGCTGCTGGAATGAGTTGTCAGATTATCAAGTCAATAGTAAATGTGGAGGCTGAGCAGTATTTTAAATACTTCCCCAAGAAACTGATATCCTATACATAAACTATATGATCAGAAAAAAAATATAACCTTGTAAATGTTTATTGTTGTATTCAGATAAAAGAGTTAGTTTGGAAAAATTATGTTTACTCTAACACAAAATGTTCCTATCTATTAATGAAACAAATACCTAATGCTGCTCTAAAAGATGTTTCAAATAGTGTATGTAAAATAAGAATAGGATTAAATAATGTACTTCATCTCACTTTTCACAAATTAACATTTTATATAACGATGAAGCAAAAATTCAGACATATTAAGGTTTTTTATGTAACATATCCTATCTTTTGTATAATTCCTGTTAGGGCATACAGCTTTCAATATTGTTTTTCCATCCTTATACATGCTTTTTCTGTTGTTACAGCATTAAACTTTATTTTAAGTTGTATTTGAACTTTATTGTTCTAAGTTATTTAAATGTTATTTATAAAAAAAAAAATCCTTATTAAGATGCATCTGTTTCATATGCTTTTAATTCTAAAGGAATAACAAAACGGTCTGGCTGAGATGCATGAATTTGTTTCTGTGACCAGACACAAAGACGAGTACACAACCCTCTTGCCAACATACATTGGAGAGCAGACAAAAATGACAGCCTGCAGCAAATCACACAACAGACATCTGAAAAGAAACAATGCAAAAATGTAAAAAATCTTTGCCACATACTCTTGCTAATCGAATTACCAGCAGGCTCAGAGTTACAGCAGGTAAAAGAAGGTTACAGCTTGTCGTGGTTTCAACACAGTTCCAGCAGGTACTAGAACGAATCCCTCAGAGGGTAGAACCTATACTCACAGATAAAGAAATACGTAAAAGCCTGTATTACTAGTTTGGAACTTCAGCTAAAATCGTTATGACCTGATGAAGAAAAGACATCTCCATTTTCTAGCTACTGAAGTGCTCAGCTAAGCCCTACACAACTAATGCATTATATAATTTCATTTTGCTCAGTTTGCCTGCAAGTTTTCTAGGTATTATGGTAACCATGCACTTAAAGATCACAAAAAAATAGCTAAAACAGCTGCTAGATGCCTGAAATGGAGTCAAGCTAATTACTCTCAGTCTAAAATGCTTTACTTTTCATTACAAGTGTCGAGAGTCAATCGTTTTTTCTGACATGAGAAACTTTTCCTGTAATAGCACTCACCAAAAATGGCCAAGAATTCTCTCTATCAATAATTCTTAAAAACAAAACCAAAACTTGTGTAACAAGTACTATAATTTGGAAGCCATTTATGATTTTTGACTTGCTAATATCAAACATCAAAGTGAAGATATAAATGGGTCTATGCAGAAAAAATCTGTCAATACAGCTATCTCAGTAAACATTCACTGTGCTTTTTTTATCTATTACTTGTTCATTGAAAAAATAGACTGTACTATGAAAGAAACTGTTTTGCAAATCACTGTCTGCACCTTTCTGTGAATATATAAACACTGAAACAAAGTTCACACTCATGATCAACATTAACATACTGGTGGAAGATTCTAGATCTACACTAGGTTAGTTGAAGCTTTGGAATAAAAAATAAAAGAACAAAATCTCATTAAGATTTGAAGTTTGAATTCTAACATGAATATGCACATTAATACATTAATATATATGCAAAAAGCACTTAAAATGAAATCCACATACAGACAAGCTCTTCTAAAGATCTTTTGGTTATGTAATTCAAGAATATAGGGATGCAGCCAAACAATCCTGAACCCCAGTTGTAATTCGCCCTTACTGCTATATGCTTTATGTAATGAAGTACTAAATTACCATCATTATCAGGCTTTACGTTTTACAGCTCCCATATCTGAAATGCATCAGAACAGCAAGATCAGATCAACCCACTTGAGCAACTTTTAATGCAGCTTTAATTTAGAAAATCTCTTTGGAAATACAAGAAATTTATTTTCAGCTGCCTCCAAAATAACCTTTTTAGTGTTAAAACCAGAGACTAATAATCAGAAAATTCATAGTGGTGATCTACAATAACAAGCTATTACAGGATAAAAGAAAAAAGAATCTATTAGATTTTAACAGGTATTATTCAAATAGATGCCAGAAACCCTCACAAAAGCCTTCTATACCAATTACATCACAATCCAATCTTAACATCAGTCATGCAATATCCCATCAGGGAGGAAAATATGTTCATATGAAATGAAACAGATCTACCTGTCTGGATATAACTCATTACTAACCTTTATGATACTAAAGATTCAAGAAAACCCAAAGTCAGCTATAATAGCCACTCTCAATTGTTATGTCTTTGTTTTTCCTTCAGATGCATTGGCTTTCATCTAGCTTTCTTCTTTGTTTACCACAGATACTACAAAGCATAAATAGACTGTGGTTTAGAACTGAAATATAAGCTCCTGTGGTTTAAATAGCCATTCTATTTAGCCACCTTCAATAACCATTCACATTTCCCAGAAACTGTTCCATTACGCAGGCTCTTTAAATTTCATTAACAAGGTTCTACTTACTTATCTCTTGTATTAGTGCCGATAAACACTCTGTGACACACAAATGAGCTAATCTCATCTGGGGAATCTCACACAAGACTGCAGAATCTCCATTCTTGTTGGTCTTCAAGATCTGACTGAACAAAGTCCTGTGCAAATTAGTCTAAAATCAGTGTGGGTCCTACTTTGAGCAGGAGACTGGACAAGACACCTGCAGCACCCTTCCAACCCAAATGAGTCTGTAATTCCAAGTTATTTTTCTTAAAAAACCCAATTAGAGTTCAGTTCAACCTCTTGAACAGCTACACAAAACACATTTTCCATGTTGGGGGATAATTACACATTTGTCTCATAGTTTATCTATAATAGCTTGTGTGTCACTAAAGGTATGCAAAATGGTGTAAATACATTTTATAACACAATAAAAAATGACAATTGGACAATTTCCATGACCTTTAAAACACATATTGTACAATATGGTCTCACTTTTAATTCTGTTGCAAGTACTTTAAAACGACTCTGTGCATAGCATCTGTAATCAGATTACTAAATGATTAATCAACTGAGTAATTATTAAAATACACTTGTCTGTGTTTTAAATAAGAAAATATGTATATTTTTGAATGAGCTGAACCAAAATGTAAGTTAACGTTAAATCAATAAAGCAGTAAGAGAATAACAGTATTTCACTGCACTTGACAACCAGTATCTGAGTAGTCTAAATCCTTCACAAGACCCCACAATCTAATTCCTCAATAGTAACTTCCTAAAAAACAGGATAACTTCACAACATTTAACATAGGTAGAAAATGAAACTGACAGGTTAGATAATTTTCCCCAAATTAGGGGAAGTTATCATCAGAGATGGGATCCGTACTTCGAACTAATAAGTTACTAGTAAGTAACAGGAATTTGCATTACATCGTTCCTTAAAACAGAAAAAAGGTAACTTCTCTGTGCTGTCAGGAGAATTTGAAGATTTTGAAGATTAGGAGTCTTTAAAGCAGAAGCTCAGATGGGAAAATATTCAAGGAGTTGTATGAAGTTTTTAACATGACATTTATATTAACTTAAATGACACTCACACAGCAAAGTTTCCAGAAAAGAACTTTTTAACACCGTGCACTTAAATTCATAGTCTTACACAAAATACAATGTAGCATCCATATAGTATTAGAACTACCAAGTATTAAAACTTGAGCTGTGTAAATAACCTCACCTGGCCAAGGAAAGCTAGATTGTAAATCTCAGCCATTACAGACACTGAAATTCTTTAACTGTTTACCTTCCAGACCTAAAAAGGGAAATTTTCTTCAATTGTGTTTGGAAGGCACATCCTAGCTTACCAAGATTGGTTGTTTCACTAAGAAAACTCTTTTACTTAAAAGCCTGGCACTTTAAAAGACTGACTCTTAACAAAGAGGGGAGAAAAATAATTCAATTTAGAGGAAATTATTTCCTCATGAGAATAAACTGTTTTCCTTCAGCAGTAACCAGAAAAGAAGAGCAATTAGAATGAAGATGCATAAACTTGTCCCATAAATGTTACAGTGTTTTCAGACTGAAGTCCAGTAACAGATAAGACTCCTTACTTTTAAGGTAATTTCTAAAACAGTGTTTTAACAAAGATGGTTAAAAATCTGAACACTGAGCATTCTTCAATGAAGCACAGATCTCAAAGGACACCAAGCTGCTAAAACGTGCGTATTGGTACCTCATGAGAACCTGAAAGTGTCAGGTTAAGTAGGCTGCCAAAGTCCATCAGATTTCATAGGAATTATATATACATATATACATATATGTATACATATACATACACACACACACACATATATATATACACACAGGAACTAGATATCTAGCGTGCTCAGCTACATGGAGAAAGTACATATCTGGCTTACCTAGTACCCCGGTAGCTCTGTGAAACTCATTAGAAGTTCACTTCACATAGATCAACAGCTTCCCCATCTTTGAGGAGTTACAGTCAATTTAAGGGCTTTGTCCTCTGCAGACTAAGCTTTCTCTGGGAGTCTGTTCATTGTGCCACTTGGATGTTCAGAACTTTGTAAGACTAAAACACAAAAACAGCCTTTTTCTAGCTTTGCCAGGTAAACACTGAAAAGAGCTCATTCTACAGATGAGTATTCATTGGTCTGTACCTATGTTTTCTGACCATACACCAACAACGAACTGACATATCTGTGGTGTTATGTTAATTGAACAACTCATGTAAATCCATGTGTAATGTTTTATTTATGTATTTCTGGTTTTATACAGCAGCAAAGACACTACTTCTAGCCTGTACCCCTCTCCCTGAAGGGAAGAACCTGAACCAAAGATGTGTCACTGTCCCACCTTTATTTAACAGACCCTGCGTCACACTTTATTCACAGAATCACAGCATGGTTGATGTTCGAAAGGACCTCTGGAGGTCTTCTGGTCCAAACCCCCTACTCAAGCAGGGCCACCTCGAGCCAGTTGCCCAAGACCACGTCCAGACAGTACTCCTCAGCCTCTCCACACAACCTGTGGCACTGCTCAGTCACCCTCACAGTAAAAAAGTGTTTCCTGACATTCAGATGGAATCTCCTGTCTGTCAGCTGGTGTCCACTGCCTCTTGTCCTGTCACTGGGAACCACTGAGAAGAGCGTGGCTCAGTCCTCTTTGCACTCGCTCTTCAAGTATTTACATACATTGATAAGCCCAGAGGCTTCTCTCCTTAAAGAGAACAACAGTCACAGCTCTCTCAGCCTTTCCTCATGGGAGACATGCACCAGGCCACTCATTATCTCTGTGGCCCTTTATTAGTCTCTCCAGTATGTCCATGTTTCTCTTGTACTAAGAAGCCCAGAACTGAACACAGTACTCCAGGTGTGGCATTATCAGTGCTGACTAGAGGGGAAGAATCACTCCCTTACTCTTCCAACTAACTTAGTAATATCTTTATCACCACTAGAAATGTTCTTATAATAATAATGTTATGTGGTATGATTTTAATCAGAACTCAGGGCCAACTCCCTTTACAATTACTATCTTCTGTCTAAGCATAAACACAATTTACTATTACCTTGGACAGCACCAGTTTTGATGGATAAGAATCAAGTCATCAGCTGGTGACTGCTGAGTTTTCATGGTTCATCTACTGCCCTTTGAAACCTGGTTCCATTAAAGATTTCTCATATAACTTAACACTAGCCACTTTCAGTGTGCTATTTGATAGGTAAGTTCGAGTCTGGTTCATGCTGCTAAAGCACTAAAATTACCCCCACACTAGCTTTAAACTGCCAGACTAGTCACAACAGACCACAGGGTCAACAGAGGAGATGTAGCTGTTTCTACCCACACTCACAGGGACTTCTGTTGCTACACAGGATACCATACCCTCAAAGTTATATGGTTCTCTCTGTTCAAGCTAGCTAACAAGGTAGCCTGTTTACGTCTATATGAGTTGCTGTGATATTATTCTCAGTATAGGAACACTGGCTGAGACCTTTACAGGAAAAAGCAACATTTGGAAACCATGGACAGTCAATTCTTGTGTAAGACACAACATGTTAATATGACTAACTTGCCTATACACGCTATCCCTATTGATTTCACTGAAAACTAGGCACTAAAGTGGATCTGGACAAGCAACAACTTTTCAGTGGTCGTAAGAGAGAACAAATGATTATTGAACAAAACCATGAGCATCCTGCAAGCCTAAAGCAATAAGGTAGACCACAGGATAGCACACTAACAGGAAGAGCTAAAATAGGGCTTCTCTTTTTTGTTTTACTGTCATAGGAAAAAACATGTCATTATATCTTGGAGAGAAACATCAAGATAACAATAGCTTCAGAGACTTTAGAGATTACTGTCATTAAAACAGACTCCCTTAAGTAAGCAGTGTTGTAATGAGCAGCTGAGGTAATTTACTGAACCAACTTCATAAATAATCACTTTCTACTCAGTTTCATATTCTTGTTTTCGTATACTAGTAAAGTACTACAGTGACCATGATCCAAGAGGAAATATGATTATACCAGAATAAAACCTTTGGAATTCATAAAAAACATGCAAATGTTTCCACTGGTTTTAGGTTTTGTAAAAGCATATTATTTTTAAACCCAAATGTTCCTCTGTTCAAAAGCATAGTTACATTTCTGTTTCTAAAAACTGTCCTGCAAACTGAGCAATACACGCAAAATTGATTCTGTAAACAAGAATTTCCTTTCGAGACTGTAACCTGATGAGAGTAACACTGACTTTCAACTTTAAATAAACCACATTTCATTTTTTTAATTGTGCTTGAAAAGAAATACTAAAGTAAAAAAAGAAAATTCTTCAGGAAAGCTAAAAGGCAACACATAACGACAGTAAGATAGCTCACTTTTTTAAGGCACAGATGTGTATAGCCAATCCATACAAAGATTCTACAAAGCTGTATTCATCTATAGAGACCAAATCCCTCGGCTAGGCCTCAAAAGCAACTCTCCTCATTGCTTAGATAGACTGTTTCACTGGAGAAAACCCAAACAATTCCCTCACATCTACATTCGAAGAGAAAGCTTTGTGGGAATCATGGCACATGAGAGAATACTTCCTTTCCTCTGATATGTCTGCAGTACTGCACTAATTCAGGATTTCCTGAGTACAGCACGTTCCAAACCTTCTCTCCTTAACACATACAAGAGACAATCCTCTATCTTTTCCTAAGCACTTAACCATAGAGAAAACACGTCAGTGATACCATGGAAAATGGTAGAGGCTGGGGAGTGGGAAGACTGGGACCAACAGAGCAGGGTGAGTAGCCCTGAAAAACTGCACAAAGATATCTTCTTCCATTAAAGTAGATTCCATCACTAAAGAATTTCTAAAATAATTCTTCAGCTTATCTTTAAGACTGGTAATGAATAACCCTATATTATACAGCCACATATACACTAGAAAATGGAAAATCAAAGAATTACAGACCTCACTGCCTTAAATGACACCTATGATACAAAAATTTATGAGTTTTCTCCTGAATTTTTTTGCAAAAATAAGGTTTTCATACCTTGATGACTGGGAAATTACCTAAATAGAGAAAAACATATGAGCTCATGGAAAAAAAGATGGGAGAAAAAAAGGCAGGGATGGGAAAAGTTGTTTGGTTATGGTTGAGGCAGAAGGAAGTTAAAAAGGAGAAAGACAAGATTGGAAGCATAAAATTACGCCTGTAGTTGTTAGAAGGAAAACAGTAATTTTAGGCAGGGAAAAGAGAAAAGAAGCTGGCTAGCTTGAAGAAACAAAATGTTGCATAACACTCAGAAATAGAGCAAGCTAGAAGCAACATCAGCACAAACAGCTTGAGAAGCGGTTAAAAGAGCAGCACTGAGAAAGCACAGCAGGCTGGTATGGAAGAATAAAAGTTAAGATCTGATCCATCAGGACAGGGAAGACAAAGGGGTAGAAGTTAGGGGGAAGAATGCAAGACATACTGAAAATGGGAACCAGGTGCCAGAGAAAGGAGTAGAAAAAAATAATAGCTATCATTAGTATGAGAGGAACTGACAAAATCGAAACCATCAGATTTTACTAGCTAGAGTATCAGTACCTTCTTTAAATACTTTGTAATATTTCTTACGGCTTAATCAAATGGAAGTATCAGTATCTGGGAGGATGCATGTTTAGAGTAGATCAAAATCAGCAACTCATGTTTAATTGCTATAACATTTTGATTTTGTGCAAAACAAACTGAAAATATTGCTAATAATTTATATTGACAATTAGAATTTGCAATATACTCTAGATTTCCTTCCAAAATGCGTGGAATGACATGCATTGTGTCTTTAGAAATATTTACAAGACTTACTGGTTGCTGTAGGACTGGCAGATGCACTAGCTTGTATTTTAGCAGTAGCATCTTTAGTAGTATCATTCACTGTGGCAGTCCTCAAGCTTTCAACATTCCATTGCTTCCATACACCCTTCCTTGAGTTTACACCTGAAAGTCAAAAAATATAATTTAGAAGAATATTGATGCTAATTTTGAAAATCACCCTATGAATATTCCTGAGTAAGAGTTGCTTTATTTCCTGTCTCCTATGTGCAAATTTTTATGACCATAGTCAACTTCATCCTTGGGGCCCAATCCTGTTAACTGAAATAATTACAGCCATATACTTAAAGTCAAACAGGACAGTTTTTGCCATCTCCTTTCTGCTTCTGCTTACTTTTGCACATGAGTGAATATCCTTACTTTGTGTTGTTCCAATTCTGGTAATTTAATATATTTGTTTATGTTTTGTTGAGGTTGTGAATTATTCTGGCAGCAATACATAATTTACTTTATTCAGTGGTTTTCCATATTCACTCCAGTAGTACTTTGCAGAGCTCCATACCATAGGTTTTATGCAGATACAGAATCTATGGCATAGCAGTGTTCTCCCAGTTTCTTGGGATTTTTCTCTGGTCTGACTAAATTTCAGTTAATTCTATCTATTATCTATTTATAGTAGTTACAGAGTACACTGTGGGTTTACCCAGCTCTTCCAAGTTAAAGGCCCATTTGGAGTTTGGTGCATATATAACTTTTGAAGTATGCAAGCCTTCTCAAATTTAATTTTTCAGGATGATTTTTTTCTACAGACAATTTTCTGTGTCTGTAACTAAAAGGAAAATTCTGCCCAACAGTGACTGACACAGAGAAGGGTTTTGAGAAATTATTTCAGTATTTTATATCTACTTCAAAAACATATTTCTATTGCATTTGTCAATCGGGTTCAACACACAAGATAATGAAATCCACATTGTCATGAAGTCTAAATAAATGAGCACCAAAGATAGAAATGTGCTCTTAAGTTTTTAAATGGATATTAAAATACATATACAACCTAAAAATCATAAACTGTTACTGTTAAAATATTCAGAATGGCAATATAATACTACTGCCAGGACAGGCATAGTCTGAATCCTGTAAGAATATTTATACAAAGTGACCATTTTTTACAGAGATACCTACAAAGCCACCTACAAATAGTTACTGGGGAAATGCTCCTAGTCTGCTGTTATAACACTGTTCAGCAGCTTTTCCAGGAATTAGTATAGTTTTACCTAGGGCTTGAATTTTTAAGGCTTTCTTCCTGACTGCATTTATGTGCTTACCATAGATTCTTCCAGAGTAATTCTCCTACACAGCAGCTCAAAGAAAGCTGTGAAATGAAATCTGCATTCATAATTTCAATTATAAGTTACATCTCTGGGTATGATTATATCCTTGCTGGCTAATTCTACAATAGTTAAATACTTTCACAGCTAAAAGAGCTACTACAGAACAGACTCACTGCAATAAGGCAATAATTGGACTGGACCAAAGCCTACGTATAACCTTAAAAATACAATACTTTCTTTTCGATATCATTATACTTTTATGAGCTGAATCTAACCCATACATCACTGAAAATGCTAATCATACTATTACCTGAAAAAAAAGTATCTTCAGCATCCCTGGGAACAAGAATAAAATGTGCCACAAAACCCCCAATTCTGTCATACAATTGGTCTTGATCTTCTTGGTTAGGCTGCAAAGGGAAAAAATTGGGAAAAAGGTATCATCATAAATTCAGATACAGGTGTGTGCTAATATACTGATTAATAAAGCTCATGTTTATCCTCTAATACTATCAAGGTCTACAGCCATTCTCTGAGTGCCAAGACATTATGTCTATGCAAAAAAAACCCCACAAAATAAATTGTAGGACAACCGATTACTTCTGTAAATCAATAACTGTTAATTTCCAAGAGCAGGCTTCTGTCTGTATATAAGCACTTTATGTCAAAAATGTTACATTTGTGCACACGTTTTGCAGCAAGTAGTATCAACAGGTCACTATCTAGACTGCTCAACTATCTGAATTTTGTGTCTGTCCTTCACTCCGCACAACTTGCTTTTATCACCTTGACAGTATTTGGACTTGGACAAGTAACAGGAATTAACAGTTTTCTTCATTTCTAAGCCAAAAGAAGTCAAAATTCACTCAGAAAAATGCAGCAAATGACATAACATTTATAATATTCTTCAATCTATCAGTCACTATTTTAACATAGATTGTAAAAGTCTGTATAATACTGTACGATGGGTTAATTTGTGAAAAAGCAATAAAATAATCTTTGCTTTATTAGTAACAACCTAATATGCAAAATGGATCAAAAGTCAGGATTTCAGAGTGTTTGATACCAGCAACTAAGTAGTGATTGTTTTATGTTGGTGATAACTATTATCACATGACTATTAGAAATCTGTTCCTTTTATTTCTATGTACTTCTGCAGCAATGCAATCCTACTGATCCCACAGAATAAATGAAGGCTTTTTGGATAGCTGCTTACCAAATTTTTAAAATGTTTCTATAGTGAGAATTCAAATTTGTTTAAAATAAATTACTTTTACTCATGTACGAGTTTATACTCTTAAGTATGCATACCCATCTAATCTGTACCTTAGTACATTAAGCATTTAAATTTTAAAGATATAAATTAGTAAGCTTACACATTCCCACTTCAAGTGGAAGTTATAAAAAAATCTAACATACTTTATCTTGGCCTTTCACAGTGCCATGGGTTCTGATTCTGCCCCAAACTGACTTTCCCAAGGAGAAAGCTACCATGAGTCACAGCAGCAGAGATCAATGCCTGAAGCAGAATACAAAGACAGGAGAGGCTTAGCTCTAAAATCAGCCCTATTTTTCCAACTGTTACTTAAGATACTGAATTCACAGGAAGAAAAACATCATACTTAAAAAACCTGAGCTTTTATAACTAGATCCCAAAGTTTTGGAGCTCCCAAATGTCCTGGTAATTCTGAAAGTGGTTTTACCTTGAAACCAGCTAAAACAACTCTAAAAAGAAAATAAAATCATTTAGCAACTAAGCTAATTATTATGTTCCTTTTGCATTAAATAGCTGCTCCAATGAGAAAACTAAAGTAAAATTTAAACAGTATTCTGCAATAGAGGTGTTCACTTGCTGGTGACCCCATTCTATAAAAATACTTCTTTAGCAGTTGCTTTCTTTTATTACCCTTAAGAGTCTGTCAAAGTACATGAAATAACCACTTCAGTCTTTGTTGAGGTTTATTTCTCATAGGATCACAGAACCATTTAGGTTGGAAAACACTTTTCAGATCATCAAGTCCAACCTAATCTAACCATAAACTTAACATTACCAAGTCCTTGTGAGTTTCTTCTTTCTCAAAACTTTTTCACTACAATGTTAATAAACCCATGCCAAATTTTCAAGCTGTTTCAAAAAATCTAACAAGGAATTTGTTGTTTTTATATATCTCTGTATGTATCTCTGTTCTTCAACAGAAACTTTTATTGGCCTTTAATAGTCAAACCAACATCCAAGAAATACCCAGGATCAAGATATTCCAAAATACCAGAAGCGTTTTCTTCTCCTTCTAGTCTCTCACCTACCTCCCTGAAAAGTCCTAGCAACAGGCTCCAAAGATTTGACCATAATACACCAGATGAATAACACGATTTGTTGCATTGACACTGTATTTGGAATTTCCATTATCTAATTCACGTAGTCTTAGAAAAATTAACTGCTATTCAATGAGTAGGTCTCAAAACTTTTCTTTCCTTTGGTTTGGGATCAGAGCTATTTACGTAACTTCCAACTCAAAGCACACTTCTAAGAAAATGCTGTGTACTTGCTTACACGTAGTGTAAGAAATCTCTTACCTCTGTATTTCTACCTTCTGAGTCCTCAACCATGTATTTGGCAAGGTGGGAAATGTTTAAATACTTAATTCATAAATAATGCTGTTTTACACAATGCTAGAAATGATATTTTCATCTAAGACAATTTATACTACAAACTGTCAATATACTTCAGATAAGGAGCAATGGTCTAAAACTGAGACTTTCAGTGACTACAAAACACCTTTGGAGACACAAAGAAAAAAATAGATTTTTTTCAAATTGTTTTGGTGTCATCAACATGGCCCAACTTCTCCCCTAGCAAACATTCAGAGAATGATGTAATTCCACTTCTGGATCCAAGTAAAATACCTTGAACATTTAGTCTTTATTGTCTAATCCATTAAAAGAAATAAAAATCTGTACTATACCTCTGCTTTCCCCATCTCACTTGTCTGAGTCAGAATTTCTTCTGCACCAATTTGCTCAATAGCAGTGTCTTAATTAGCAAGGTTTAGCTAGATATAGAGGTTGGATTGATGATTTTACTGGCTACAAGCTGTAATCAGGCAGACTTTTTAATATGTCTAGATCTACAATTAAATGTGTATGTGCACAAAACTTAACACACAACTGCACCACTGGAATGACTGGAAGGCTTAAAAACCACCTTTTTGGTCTTCCAGTACATCTCATCATTTTTTCATAATGCCAATGTCTGTGAAGAACAACATGTTTTCATAGCCTTTTGCTTGCACTTTGTTTAGGCTTGACACAAAATGTTTCTAAAACCCAGGCAGAACCGGGACTTCAGCTTATCAGCATTTTTTAATTTATAAACTTGACACTTCACACTTGCAAACTGAGGCAAAGCTATAACACCTGAGACAATGCCTGTCAGTTTGTTCAAGGGCATGAGATATTCTTCAAGATACGCAGGTCCACATTGTAACAAGAATATTTTTTCAGTGGGTTTCTCCAGTTGGATACTTGTGTTTATTCCCTTCTCCAAATCTGAGTGTGGACTGATGGTCAATGGAACATACTCATACAGATATTTACATACAGCCCTGAAAGGATAACCTTTTTAGAACAAGGCTCACTGAGAGATACACAATTTGGCCATTCCTTCAGCACTCAGTACACAGTAAAAATAGTTATTTCTGAAAATGATACAAATGCAATGAACTTTATTTTGCAAAAAAAGAAGTGTAATACCGGTGTAAATGCATTTTACATATACCTTGTAAGACTCTCTAATTTTGGCAACATTGTTAATAACAACTGTAATTTCCTCCTCTCCCATGTGCTGCATTCAGAGCTGGTTACATCATCTCAAAAAGACAGAAAAACAGAAATAGGACAGGAAAGGGAGGCCCATTAGAGCAGACACTGAGTAATTAAAAAGACTGTAAATTTTTAGTTACAGAAGGAGATAAGGAAAAAAAAAGTTATTATGTTTCTAAAGAGACAAATAAAATCATGTGCAATTTAAGTTCTCAGAAAGGACAGTAACGCCTTCCATCTGTTGAGAACAGAAGTGGAAACACAGGAGGAAACTCTGTTCCTTGATCTAGCAAAGAATTTAAACCAACAGCTTAAATATTTGAGCAAATTGCTGAAACCAAGGGTAGTCATTTGAAGTTAATCATCAAACTCATCACTTTTGGAAAATAACTTACCAAGTGCTAATACAGAGTAATTAATGTGATCTTAAACCCTCTAGTAGAGCTGAAAGACAATGACATGTTCTTTCTTAATAGCAGGGCAGTAAGACAAATTATTTCTTAAAAATATAAAATTAAATTAAATGCAAACTATTAATACACAAACGTTTATATTAGGGTAAAAAGAGAGTAAAACCAATTAGAATTAAAACATAGTAATATTTTGTTTTGACATGATGCCAAATGAAAATGTCTCCACTTTCATGTCAGATTGCTCCTCCTAAAAATATACGTTTTAAAGATACAAAAAACTTATTATGGAATGTTCTGTCCACTGAAATTCTTTTTATCATTTTTTATTTCTTTGTTCCTGTGACAGAAGAAGTTCTGCTTCATAGCAAAAGAGTAATTTTTCTCACAGCTCTGTAGTTAAAGGCTTTGAGTGAATCAATACTTTAAAATAATGTAGGCAGGTCAAAAGGAAAGTTCTGTTTTCTCTAAAAAGTATGTCATTTCAATGAACCACTGGTAACCACATTATAGCAAGTTCTTTAAGAAAAGAAACACATATTAAAAGATTTCCCCAGCAGCCTTATCAATACAAGAAAGCAACTCATTAAAAAGCAAAACTAGCTACTCCCCTTTTCATACTCATCAGAGCTTTTTGCCTCAGGATTCAGGACTTTCTGTTATGTTAGTAATACTGTGGACTGACCAAATATTTTTAAAACAGCTTGATCCAGTGTCATCACTCAAGCATACTTTAACAACAGCAGAAAATCACTGTACAACAGACAGAAATTTTCCTCCATGGGTTAGCTTTTACAAAAAGGCAGTTAACAGAGAGGCTGCTCTCTTAAAGGTTTGCCATTTCTACAAACCTCTTAGTTTCCAGTGCCTGAGGGTCCTGGAAATACAATCTACGCTCAAACTCAATTCTCAGTATTTACATTCACATGGCTTTGCTCAGGACCTGCCTCCTGCTTCTCCAATTCACCATACACATGGGTAGTTAAAACAACAAGCAGTTGGACTCACCAAACCTTCAGAATATAAGAATTCTTCAAAAGTAAAAGGAGGCTCCTGCATTTCCTGCAGACATATAGTAAGAATTTTTTCCACCAGAAAACCCTAAAATAACCTACATTAGCAAATATTTAAACTTCAGATAACTAAACCTGACAATCAAAGTTATCACAACAGCACACATAGCGCACATGCACTGTCATTTCTTCCAATAAGCAGAACACTAGCCCACATTCTTAGATGCTGAGAAACATGCTAAAAATGTGGAAAATATGTAAGGACCATTAATCATAAAGGCAGAACTTCCATCATCTTCTCAGCACCTCCACACAAAACATTTACACTATTATTATCTGTGTACTTCTAAAACATATACTGAAAAAAAAAGCAGCACTGTTCTTACATAAAGGTTTCAAAGTTGGAAGAATGTCAGAGCTGCAGATTAACCAAAGTCTCACTGGAATCCATCACCTGATATCTTCCAAGTTCAGAATAATTAAAACCTCAAAACTTTGCACCATTATATCTGAGCAGAAACCATGTGTGAGAAATACTGGTTTGAAAAGAGCAGTAATTTTAGTCAACTGTGAAATTAAGAACCTCAAGCAAAAATTATACAGCAACCACTCCTAAAATCAGTTTTCTTAATATCACAGCTTTTGTGCAAGTAACTGTATAGAATAAAAGTATACAAAGAAGTAATTCAGATTTCAGAGCCTGCTTTTAAGTACCGAGCAGGCTGGTTGTTCCCAAACAAGAAGTACCGAAAGAGATCATTCAAACAAAGAGCTTTTAGTAAAACCTATTGAAATTAAATGCAGCAAGAAAGAATTCAGGAATTATTATAGAAGTCTTCTTTGTGTTCAATAAGCATTTTTTATTTTGACATAATTAACTACATCAAGATGCACAGTCACAGCGTAAGGAGATAAAAACTATGGTGAAATGTCAACATTTTTTGTACTACCACAATGCATTTCATAGTGCTGGCATGAAAAACTGAGCAAGTCAAAATAAAACAAGCAACAACAGAATGCTGGTAGAAATCCTCTGCTCTGAATGTAAAACCACTGAAGTCAGTGAGGTTTTGGGGGTGTAATTGAGATCAAAGTTTGGCATAAAGTCTCCCTACAATGTCAACTTTCCCCCCTAAGGCTATTACAACTAATGTATCACAGACTTCAGTTCACCAAGTTGAGAGAAATATTCTCTATACCAAAATTACTGGTTTAGTTTAGCTACTTCAACCTAAAAATGGAGTTACTGAACACTGAATATTGGGTAAATGCTACCGTAGAGCAACATCCTCAAGCAGGCCAAGAATTCTGCAGAAAAGATCCCACACACTACTTACGGAGAGCTACAAACCAAGAAAGGAATATCGTAACACAATTCTTCCAGCTTCCGAAGTCAGCCATAACTATGCAGCAAGAATACTAATAGGTACGGGGAAAAAATACAGGTAAAGAAATCCTACCTAGCTTCCCCAGTTAACAAGGGCGTGAAGCACACCCCTCAGATCCTAGCACAGCGGGTTCCAGGTGCTTCTACACGGCAGACAGACCCGCAGGGTGCTGCCACCGCCGCCTGGAGACGTTTCACACGGGCTGAGGAAACCTGGGAAGGAACAGAGCGGATTTCAACCTGCAGGTAACGGGATGTGCTCTCTGTTCAGATTTTTGTCACACAACACGTGAAAAGCCGGTTCGGGGACAGATGCCCTCAAATAAACACAAAACCCAACACTGCAGCAGGTCCCTAAGGAGGGAGTCCCTTCCTCGGGGTGCTCTGACATGTCCTTCATCTATCGGGGTCACCCCGAGCTGTCGCCAGACCGCTGGCGGCGGAAGGACAACCCGGAGTGGAGAAGAGCCCTGGGACCCCTCAGTCAATCAGTCAGTCTGTCTATCTGTCAGTCAGTCTGTCTGTCAGTCACTCTGTCAATGCCTGCCTGCCTGCCTGCCTGCCTGCCTGCCTGTCGCGTGGGAACGCCACGCGCCTCCTCAGCGGCCTCAGCCAGCACGCGCTGCCTCCCGTACCGCACGCGCTGTCACTAAGGGCCCCTAGCAACTGTTCCCCCACGAACAGCGTTTCCCCGCGCCCGCTCTTCCGGTCCCCTCCTTCCCGCGGCGGCCGAGCCCGACACTTTCGTTCCGGGGCCTGCGAGGGCCGCGGAAGAGCTGCGCAGTCCCCTGCGGCGAGCGCCGGCCCGCGGAGGGGCCGGACCAAAGGGAGCGGGTGAGGAGCGAAGCCTGAGCGGGTGCGGAGCTCCCCGCCCCACTGCGAGGGCGGCGAGGCCACGGCGGGCAGGAGAGCCGAGGGAGCGCATCGCGCAGGCAGCGCTACTCTGGCAGCCGCGCGTCTTGCTAGAGGCGAGCGGGGACCCGAGGCGGCCTGGCCGCTCTCTGCGCGGGAGGAGGCGGCCCCGCACTGCCACTGCGGCCTCCGCTGGGCCCTCAAAGGCCGTGGTGCCTCTGGGTGACGGGGATAGGGCTATGCAGGCGTGCCGGGGCAGAAGTGCTTTGTTGTTTCCGGGAGACATCCCAGCAGCGGAGGGCTGTGCTCTTTAAGAGTACCGGTGAATTTCTTACTGCCTGCTTTATGCAGCTCCGCCGCTTCCTTGCTGCGGAAAGCCCCAGTCCTGCATGTTGTCGGAACCCCTGGGTCATTGTTGAGGGCATGGGCGGTATCCCCCAGAAGCTGTCACCCTACGGCCGGACTTAACCGTGCTGCTGCCGCAGTGCTCAGCAGACAGGAGCGAGCAAAGGTGCGTTAGCACCCGCGGTAACCTAGATGAGCGTTTTCTAGCACTTCATGAACTTGACACAAAATCTCTTTGTCCCGGCTGAGATTTTAAGTTGTTTTAGGACTGCAGTTGGAATGCAGAGGGTCCTATGCAGCGGCAGTGATTTGTCGGGGTTTTGGAGATCAGGTGTAGATGTTATTTACAGGCTTAAAATTGTAAACTCCATTGTTGTCTTCTTTTGAAAAGTAAACTGAACACACGCTGCTGTAACTGTGACCAGCTGTTCTTTTGAGACTACAAAAGTTGTCTTGTGCCGTTAGTGCAGCGTATCTCATGAGTATCAATAAAGTGCTTTGGGGTGTCATAGTTGAACACAGTGCCTTAAGACGTTATATGAAAAAGAAGCAGGCTGGGAATGCATGCCAAATTACAGGGCCTCACACTATCTTTGCTCTGTGTGGAAACGTGAGATGTAGGGTAGATTAGCTTTATCTCAGAGATAAGTGAAAGCAAGTTGCACTATGAAGTTTGTATGCATATTAGATTTTATGTTAATTTGAATGGACACCCCTGACCTTTCAAAAGTTAGAGCTTGGCAGCAGAGGAGAGGAAGGTATCACAGCATGCATGAGTATTTAATTTTACAAGAAAAAACAACTTAATATTTCTGGGATTAAGTTTACATTTTTATTGGAAAGTTAGTGTGTTTTGGTTTTGTTATTTCTCAATTAAATTACACTTGGTTTTATTTAAACACTTAATTTTGGATCACATCTCAGAAATTATTGTTTGTTTGTTTTTGTAAAACATGACTGGTTTGTTACATCATTTCACAAGTGTGATCCCTGACATGAAAAAGTAAACCTAAATTAGCTGAAAGTAAATACTGAGAATGACTTCTTTCATTTCAAGTGATGCAGCACAGAGTGCAAAAGGCAGTTTATAACTACTGCAGGCTGTGCAGGCTCCTGCCTGGGAGCTGCTTTTAACACCAGAGAGTGATCTAGTCAGAAGGGTTCTGCTAAAACTGTGCCTGCGAGCTTCTGCACACAGCAGTGCTAATTCTGGCTGGATGGGGTGTGGGCATACAGTCAGGTTTCCAAAACATTACTGAGAGTACACAGTGAAAATTTTATGCCAGCTGCAAAGGGTGAGACAACATCTGTCCTGCAGAAAGCCTGGAATAAAAAACGTTACTCAATAAATACGAAGTTGCAGAATGAGCCTAGTCTGGATCAGCACTTACTGTCTGGTATAGGCAGCACCAGAGCAGTGTTCTAGCTCTTAAGACTAATTTTTCAGCCTCAGGCCTTGCTCCTGGAAGATTTCTTTTATCTCACAAAGTTCTGTCATCGGGGATTTCATTCAGGCAGTTTGATTTGCCCACACACAATGAAATTCAAGACAGAAATCTGATTTTGTGCAATTCCCTCTTACAAATTTCTATCCTGTAGACATTTAATTCATTGTCAGTAGCCATGCTGAAGACTAATGGGACTATTCATCCAGGTAAATGGTGTCTACCAGTGTTTTCACAAGCTTTTAGACAGTGATCCTACCAAAGGAAAAAAGTAGTTCTGCACATCTTGAGTGGGAGAATTTGCCTCAGTGAAATGATGAATGTGCATGTATGTGCATTAGGGATACAGATCTCCGGTTCCTTCTAGCCATCTATCTCATACTCTCCTCAAATCTGTTTGGAGTTCTTGTGCTGTAACAACTGAATCAGATGATTTTGTTTTTCTTTCTGTTACAGGAAATACTTTCTTTGACGAGTATTTTTTGATAAATTGGATCATACAGAATCAATAATTTTATTTAATTCACAGTATATTAGATTTTATTTAACAGCAGCAACATACTGTCTGTTTCAGCTAACCATGTCTTTAAATTCACCTACACTGGTAAATGAAGAAAACTCTCAAGAACCAAGAAGAAATTCTGAATGTTTGAAAAGTGTAGAATCGCAGGCTCCATCATCGTTTCAAGATAACCCACTTCAACAGCTACAGCTTGCATCGCAGGAAGTACTTGAAAAGGCAAAGAAGAGTGGGAGATCAAAATGTCCTCGATGCAGTAGCTCAAGGATGTTTTATTGTTATACATGCTTTGTTCCTGTTGAAACTGTCCCTACCAAAGAAATTCCAACTGTGAAGGTTAATATTTCATACAGATTTTTTATAATATTCTTGTGCCTTTTAGTTACTAGGAATGGAGAACAGTCTGTCTGTGGGCGTTTGATTTCAGATTAATTCAGTATGGATGTTCATCTTGAACACAGTTATTAAGTACAGCTATAAGCTACAGTTAGGTAAAATTCTTCTGTGAGGAATTATGTGTACAAACACTGGCAGTGTTCCAATCCTCATTTACATATCTGCTGGATGGGAAGGTATGCTGAATCACTCCGCTTCTTGTGTAAATGGTTGTTTTCACTTAGTTCTTAAAAGTGTCTGTACAGTGCTCTTACCTTCATTCTTCAGTGTCTAAGAACTCTGTCCAGAACAGAGCACATCAGGAACAAAAAATGATTTGTCCATAATTTCTGTCCATAGAAATTTTACATAAAATGAAAATGTGAGCTAAAAGGCATTCTTAAATGTCATGGTTGTATAATTCAGATAACACAAATAAAGACTAAAAAGCCTAATGCCTTTCAGCTAAAGTACTTGGATAAATCATCAGAGGACTGACATTTTGCAGAATCACCTAGGAATTAAAATGCATTTTGAAGACACTCTGTAGTTTGAATGCATCATGAAAATACATATTTTAGGAGTACTTTGGAAATTTGACCTAGTGCATTTAAGTGCATTTTCATTGAAACAGCCGTTTTTGCAATGAGGTGAATATCTAATACAGATAAGCATTCATATTTACAACCATTATATTGATCAAATCAAGACCACATACTATTTACCTTAGAGATACTATTCCTAAGTGTTTTATCACACTACTGCTGCAAATTGCGTTAATTGCTTGCTTAAGTATCTAGATGAACTGAATGAAACAGGTGCTTCATGTCACTTGTCTCTGATTTAGTTCTAAACCTGTTAAAAACATTGTCAGAAATCGTCAAATATTTCTTAATTACATGTCCATGGGGATTTCTGCTGGATCTTGCATAAAATTTTGTACCTGCATATATGGTCATAAATAATTGCTTATTTCTTTTTTACTGTAGTTACCTTTGAAGGTTGACATCATTAAACACCCAAATGAAACAGATGGCAAAAGCACTGCTGTGCATGCTAAGCTCCTGGCACCTGATGATGTTACAATATATAAATACCCCTGCATTCCAGAATACGAAGAAAAAAGACATGAAGTAAGAAATTCCATATAGATATCTGGGCTTTGTGCTGGGGAGATGCAGAGGAGTCTTCTGAACTTCCTCCTGTAGTGGTACTGGACTCTGCTGGGAAGGCGTGGGAGGGAAGCACTGTTCTGTTAATCCAGTCCACTCTTATCTTGCACTCTCTCAAAATATACAGTGGTTATGGAGTGTCCTACAAAGCTGATAAAAACCATAGTACTACTTAACCACTTTGAATATCCTGTATTTGCCACCTTAGATGACATACAGTTTGATTCACTGTGTACCATAAGAAGTATTTTGCCCAAACATATTTTCACAAACACATGAAAGTATTCAACTTAGAGCAAGTTGAACAGCAGTTAGTTGTTGTGCTCACCCTATTCAGCAGCTGCAGTATTTAAACTTCTTTGAAATTTTTAACGTTCCGTCTTTCAGAGAAAAGCTAAAATGCCTGTTTCAGTCAGAACAGAGCCTGAAAAATGTGAGCTATGGACTTGGATTTATATGCTCATTCAAATGGTGTGATTACTCTGAAATTTACACATTTGATGTAACTATCATGTTTGACTACATGAAGAAGAAAAGATACGTATCTCATAGACACATTATTTTCTTCAAGGAAAGCAGAGGTGGCAAAGAGGTAGGAAGCTAAAAAAAAAAAAAAGGCAGAATGAGAAACAGGGAAGATACTGCAGTAACTTTGTATTGTCCAGCCTTTCCAAGTCACAGGTTCTGAATGCTGCAGTAAGCAACTGAAAAAAAACACTTAAGGCCATCACTGGTCTTTTTCATACAAGATACTTGTGGGACCTGCAAGAGACACAAGGGCAGAAGAGATTTTTAATTCTTATCCAAGACTCATGAATAAAATGTGAAACTATTTTTTATGGCTTTCCTGCCCCATACATAGCAATGACAAGCGAAATCTGAATTTTCTCAGGGCTGACACCATTACCTAGGATGAAAAAACTGTTATTTACAAAGTATTAGAGTTGGTAGTAGAAGCATGGAGGTGATATTCAAAGATCTCTAACAAGTATTCATTGTTTTAACATAGTCTTTTATCCTTTTAGACAAGAGAATATTTTTTATGAGATACTTTTTCAACTTGTCCTGACTTAAATGTTTGTGGATGGGGATAGAAAATATCTGTTCTTTAATGAAACAACTCCTGGTGTTTTATTAGATTTTGCTAATATTCACATTTCTTTTTCTTTGTTTAGATAGCACTTATATTTCCTGGCCCCAATTCAGTTTCGGTAAAAGATATTGCTTTCCATCTCCAAAAGTATGTTAAGAAAGGCACTTTTGCTAACGATAATGACTGTTCCAGAGAACCATTTCTTAAGCAAGCAAAATTAGAACCTAAAGAAGAAGAAAAAGATCTAAATGAATGCATCTCAACCAGTGGGAACGAAGGCACTAGACTGAAGAAAATAATATTTATTGACAGTACCTGGAATCAAACTAACAAAATAATAACTGATGAACGACTTCAAGGTAAAAAAAAAAAAGTAAACAGTTGATATTGAGATGGTTTTGCTACAGAAACAATTAAGGCAAATATACATCTCTAACAGACCTGAGTATGATAAGCATATGCCTAACCTTATATCTGAACATATGTGAGAGCTTCAACAGCCTATTTCAGTGCTGTAGCCAAAGACTCAGTTACTTTTGGTGTCCTATAATTTGTTTCACACAATGGTAAGACTAGTATTAAGAAAGCATTTACACTGATTTTCTCACTTCTCCATTGAAACAAGTTTCCTCAGTCTGACAGAATGGAAGCTGTCATCTTAGACAACAGAACAGTAGTTTGAATGGCCTCTGAAGGAAGCCAGAAAGATTTCCTTTGCAGATGGCTAGCTGCTTTCTCAGGAGACCAAGGAAACATTTCTATACACATTAGGGGCAGACAGACCACTAGAAGGTAAATGAGGGATCTAGGGTGCAAGTATGTTATACAATGGTTTGGGTTGAAAGGAACCTTAAAGATCACTTCTTCCAACCCCCCTGCCATGGGCAGGGACACCTTTTACTAGACCAGGTTTGCTCTTGGTTACTTTTTCTCATAGAGTTCTTTGTTCCATGGTAATTTCAAAGACCTCATCACTTTCCAGACAAAAAGGGAATGCCTGCTTGCCCTCCACACCCTCCCATCGCTGAAAGATAAAACTTGTAAGTCTGCAAAGGATTTTTGTCTTAGGTTCATTACAAGAAGTTTACATTTAAGTATTCTAAATAAAACCACAAAAGATAAAACAATTTAGCAAGAGCCAGGATTTTAAAATATGTAGGAGTTTGAAATTACTTACATTAGTGAAAAAGGTGTACTTAGCTGGGAGGCAGGCTATCAAGTTTGTATGTAATACATAAACCCTGCCTGACAGGCTTAGATGCAGGATGAATGTTGCTTTGCTGTCTAGTCAGCTTATTAAAGAACCCTACATTAGTATAATGTATTGGCTAATTAAAATCCTGTTACCAAATATCTCCCTAATACTGTAAGCTTTGATATGAATGATCAGTATTTGTAATAAAGCATTGCCTTTGGCTGTACAGATACAGTACAGATGATGGAAACATGCCCAGCAAAACTGTAACCCTTAAGCTCCTTTGATTATTTTTTTGTTGTTAAAAAAAAAAAAATCCTAAAATCCTGTGTTTGAAATGAACTGATCCTGCATTTGTAGTAAGCTTAGCAGTGGCAGCAGTCTTGCCTTCAGTGGACTGTTGTTTGTATTCAAACCACAAATAGGTGGGGGTTTACACTGGAGGAATCATCCCCTAAATTTAGTTCACTGCTGTTAAGTCAGGAACATTGCTGAATTTGATGAAGATTTCACTTTGGTTAGGTCTGAGAATTCAAATATTGAAACCTCTTCAGGGAAACAGGAAGTTTCCTATTACTATTTAGGATACTTATGTAAGCATTATTAGAGGTAATAATTAGCCAGTGTTACTTTGAATTTTTAGTTCCAAAATGCCAACAATAACATTTGAATTCAGTGATGGAATCTCCTGTTCTTTTTTTTTTCTTTCCTAAATGCTGTTGGAGAGATTCCTTTTACTATGCAAGATACCATACATTCCTAACTGCAAAGGAAACAACTAAATCCACCTTGCAATTACACTAGAAAGAATTAAATGTAGTTTGAAGGTAAAAAGCATAGAATTATAAGTGCTGGGGCTATAGGCCAGTTTGCACTTCTGAATTTGGATCTTACTGAAACTTCTCTGTAACTTCCAAGCAATCCTAAAACCATACTTACTTATACTATTACTTTTACTAAACTATCCCATGACAGACACTTGGTATCTGATTCTGACATTTCAGAAAGAAATAATTTTACAAGCCGATGCTGGTATACACCTTGATGGGTGCATAAACTGTTTTTTATAATGCAGCTGTCCATCCTGTTTATAAAGTGATTACACATTAAGGTGATTTTAAATTTGTGCTTCTTAAGGAACATAAAAAACAAGATAAGGCATTTAAAATCCATCGGAATAATAAAACAGTTAAGAAACATAGTAGATAAAAGATTTCCATGTGCCATACAGAGACCAAATTTTGTTCTTTCATCTCAAGTGGGAATGCTTTTAGTTTCTAATAAAATTAATGACCAGATTCTCTTATACTTGCTCCTGAGTAATCCCTGTGAGATTTCAGTTACTTAAACAAATGAAAAGTGTCTAGCTTTTAGAAAATATTCCTCAGTTCAGCAAAACTGAGGCATTCTGTTTTCCACTGAAAGCTATTCGCTTTGCAAACAATGAAGTTTATTAATAATTTTATGAACACTGATGAGACTTTGTACCTGTGGGTTTCACTCTTCCCATCTGAACAGACCACGCAGTTTGCTGAAGGCTATGAAGCCGTATGAATGAGAGGATTAACCTACAAATTTAATTGCAGATGAGGACTGTAAGCTAGCATTTACACCACCTTCTTATCAAATTTCAAAGTGGTACACAAAGGAAAATAAAATTACTGCCTCCATTTTACAGGAAAGAAATTGAGGTACTGGAAGAGAAGTTATATGCATGCAGTCATCGAGCAGGCTAGCAGCAAAGTCAGAAAACAAAACTTAAAACTTGTTTGGCATCCCATTCACCAATCCACATTGTCTAATCTGTGTCATCCTTTTTTCTTGACAGGGTTGCTGCAAATTGAGTTGAAGACAAGGAAAACTTGCTTTTGGCGTCATCAGAAGGGGAAGCCAGATACATACCTTTCCACAATAGAAGCAATTTATTATTTCCTTGTAGACTATCATCAAGAGATTTTGAAAGAGAACTACAAAGGACAATATGATAATCTGCTTTTTTTCTTTTCATTTATGTACACATTGATTAAAAATGCCAAGTGTTGTGCAGGAAAAGAGTAAGATGTCTGTCTATAGGTAAGTTACGTTATATTTGGTTTCTTTTATGATGATAAACTGCACAAATGTAATCTGGAAATAGACTGTACTCTTAATAATGGTTAAGTGTTTGTCCGAAAGTAAGCTGCAGATTTTATGTCCTTTACACTTGAGGTTGTAGAACTACTCTGATGAGCAGTCTGATAAGAATTACTCCTTTGAAACCAGTCAGGCTTTGCTAAGTGTTGTGTCATCACAGTGAGATTATTTCCCGAGGTGGGGATAGGAGGACTTGGCCCCTCTTGCCATAAGGAGTTATGTCTCTTAACTGTGAAAAGGAATTAGCATGCTAGCTTTTTATTGTTATTAATACTTTATTTCAGGTGTTTTCATTGTGTTTTACACAGTAAAACTGATTTCACTTTCATAACATGAAAAGCTGAGTGAAATCGTTAGGATGGTATTTAACTGGGGGTGTGCCAGTACAAAATGAAAGACCACATTAAGTGACTAGAATATAAATTATGTGTTTTCGAGACTAATTCTGGAAAACTGTCCTAGTAATAGAAAAGAATGCTCGCTTTAAACATTATATAGTGTATGATTTCTGTAGTACCATTCACATACTTTCTGGGTAATTTTTTCGTTACTATCATTTTGTGCAACATTAACTTAAATGTCACAGTGGCATATCATAAACAGTAAAATTTTATAGATGCCACATACTTTCGTCTGGAAACAGATATTTTTGCAGGACTCAAATTAATTTGCAGATACAAAATATAGGGAAGATACTTGTTCTGACCACAACAATTCCGACAAGACATCCTTAATTTAGGCAGACTATTATCCATCTGCTGTGTTTTTCTTTTGCAGTAATAGTGCAAATTTGAACAGCTAAATAAGACATTGATGCTGATGGAAGTTTTGATGGTATATGTAGCACTGCTGGCAGAGTCATCACATGTGAATGTAATTACAGAAGCATGACTTTGCCAAGCTATACCATGCAGCTGATGCTGGCAGTGGTAATAGTCCTAAGCTGTATCTTTACAAGCAGTTAATACGAATATATTTGTATCACGCTAGGATGTTCTGCCAGAAAAATCAAGTTGGTAAAAATTACAGTCTTAAGACTGAAAAAGAATGTTTCATTAGAGGTACACTGTAAGATGGATAAATATTTATGAATATTCTCAGAAACACGTTTCTTAAGAAAACACTAGATCTTGTCAAAGTGACACAGAAAAATGGTAACAGATAATTTTTTAAACAAGAAATTTGAAGTTTGTTGCGTATTTTCCTCAAAAAATTGGCCTAACTTATCAGCTGTAGCCCAAGAGGGCCTTGTCACACCCTGGTGATCATAGAAACAATGCCTTGAAAAATACCGCCAGAAAATCTTATGCTGACACAGCTATATACAGGCTCAAACAACAGATTTGTAGGAGATTTTTTAATGCTTCAGGATACTGAAAGCAAAGTTAATACTGCAGTATTAACAATTGGGCAGCTTAATCTAGTTGAAGATGTCCATGCTTATTGCAGGGGGGTTGAACTAGATGACCTTTGAATAAATGTCCCTTCCAACCCATGCTATTCTAGGATTCTTTAATTGCTTAAAACAGAACATACAAATACGCTCTCTGCAAGTCATACCTATCTTCACGAATGCATATAAAAATGCGTTTCAGTGGACAACCAAAACACAGTTCCATTTACAAAAAGATATGCTAGTCAAGTTACATAAATGCGTGTGAAATGTGCAGGAACTGTAACAGCATCATGAGAAACACAGGCTTGAAGTCAGAATGAGAAACATCATTTTTAAATATGCATACATATTGAGTTCATGTGCCAGGCAATGAGAAAAATCAGCAGTCATGTCTCAGTGTTATTGAAGCAACACATTTCTTATTCATTTGGTTTTTATTGCTATTGAGAGGCTATTTTAGCTTTCTATAATGATTAACGCTATTTCCTTTGGTATGAATTTTGATAGTCTTTTGACATTTCCATCTGTTCTTGTATTTCTTAAACAAAGATTGTTGTAATATTTTTTTTAAGTCACACAAGTACAATAGCTTGAGAAGGAAACTTTCACCCACTTTAAACAAACAAAAATAAAATGAACCCACTGACCTAACGTTTTACAAGAACCAGAGAGAAAAATCTGGGGAGGAGGGGGAGTTACTTCCAAGACACATTTCCCTGAAAACATGTTTTTTTATTTAAGAGGCAGAGGTCAGATAAAAGCTTATATAAGCTGTTCTTTGTTACTTTTGGAAAATAGTTTCACAAGGTTAAGAATGGTTTCCAAATTTAAGTTTTGTGTCTCTCACTTTATTTGAACGATGGGAATTAAGACTCTATTCCAAAAGTAAATCAGTCTTAATTCTCAGGTGAAATCAACGTACAGAAAAGATTGTAAATCTGGAACACTGTGTCCCAGAATTGGGTTCAGATTCTTCTTCCAGTGCAACTGCGGTGTAATGCAAGAGTCATTCTTACACAAGTGACAGAGGCACATCTAATATCTGTCATTAATTATGGTCTGTTGATATTCCTCCGATAACCTTTTGTGAGGGCGGGAAGGAGGTTACTGTCATTTCTGCTGCAGATCTGCTCTGAGCAGATGTAGTTCTCCCTCCTCTCCCATATGTAAAAATGTTTAAACCCTCTTATTTAATTTCAGTATTTCTATAAGCAGCCAAACCAGCCAAGTCCTCTACCTGACACAGAAAATGTCTCAAAACTGTTGATCCATTTTACCAGCTTTGAGGTTGAAGAATAATTTTGTTCCACCAAATGAAGGCGATCAAGTGGTTAATCCTTTCAAGTGCAATTAGTAGCACTGACCTCACTGTTCTTTAAAATTAAGGTCATGGGGAGGTAAAGGCCAGTTCTGGGCCTTCTCTTTCATATCAGAATACCCCTGCACTAACTATCTCTTCTGTTTCCAAAAACATCAGAGAGCAAGGAGGTAAACAGGCTTCTACTTCCATTAGCAGTAACTTAAACAGCCATAAGTTAAAGGGGGAGGAAAAGGAAGAGCATCTCTATCTATCTCCTTTCACAACAGAAGACATCTGGCCTCCTGTGGGGAGGCCCCAGATAACAAAGAACCTGTCATTACAAAGCTCTGCAGTGTGCTCAGAGAACTATTTTACCTGCAGTCTGGCTCATTCATTTCCTGCCACTGAAGCCATCTGCTTTTGCTTATTGTGGGTATTTTTGTTCTTTGTTTGGCCAGGAGCATGAAGTGGCTTCACTTCAGCATGCCTGTATGCTTGGTCAGAGGCAGTGTTTAATCCTTTTCTCAAAAGGAATAAGAGGGAGCTGCAAAAACCAATTCCTTTCCTGGAAGGTAGCACAAATGTTCCAAGCCTAGGTTGAATAGAGGATCATATCAGTGCATGGATGGGGTAAAGATATATTGAGACTGAAAAGAGATGGCAACTTGGAATCTACAGAAGCAGCTTCCAAAGCACTTGTAATCGCACCTGATTTAAATCCTTTGCTACTTCTCCTTGCCTTTTTTATTTATTTTTAATAGTTTGAGTCCACCTGGTTTTCCAGAGGCTCCTCCAGGCCAAACTGTAGAATAACGCAGCAATCTGTTCTTGTCTCTCTCTTACATTGACTTTCAGTATTTTGCCTGAATGCTTTACAAATCAGTCTATATTCATAAACTAAGTCATAGCATACTTACAGATAATGTAACATGATACAAAAATCTATTCCACCTATACCTGTCTTTGAAAATACCAAAATAAGGGGAGGCGTGTGTGTGTGAAAAACTTCCTACTTGTTTCCTATTATTTACTATAATGCCATTAACACACACCAATAACTTGTCTCAAAGAATTCCAAAAAGCTGAGCATCAGCTGAATTCAGACTTGGTTTGTGACACAAAACTTAATGCTGACTGCATCAATGTTAAAACGGGAAAGCTTTCCCACTAAGATGGAAAGATCATGTGGCAGTAAGTTACTGATCTATTGATACCAGATTATGAGGTCACCCATCAATGTACTGAACAATTCACCATAGTTTCTGAACTGTTACCCCTTGTCTTGAGACACATTATTTGAGTAAAATTCCAATGCTGTTGTAAGTTAAAATGCTGATTTTGACTGGTGACACTTTGTAATGCCAACATTCAAAGTAAACGTTCCTATGAAAAATTTACTACATTCTTCCTGTACATCTGTTGAGAAAGTTAAGATATTGCTGCCATTTTGTAGATTCTGAAGAGAAGTCAGACGCTGTAGAATTTTGAAAGTAATGTATCCATTAAACTTTAAAATTATGGTGTGGTTTCTTCACCAGTACCTGCCAGAAAAAAATACAACTATTTCATGAGTCCCATAGCAAGAAGTGGGAGCTACTTCTCTAACACAAAACAGACTGCATTTTCACTTCACTGGAAAAGGGAATTTTTGTATAACTTCAGCACTACTGGTGGTGTTCTCCCATTCAAATCAACTCATTTTACTGCTGATTTTTAAGATCACTGGTATTGTAATAGGATGTTTAGAAACATACCACTGAAGAGTGAACAGAAGAGAATGCTCCACACCAGTATACCCAAGTCCTGCTCACCCTATCATCATCTATCATCACCCTATCATCACTTCCTTACCTACAAAGTTGATTTCCGACTAACATCTCTACATATGAAGCTATAACCCAGTAGAACTCAGCATGAAATCTAAAGGTTGAGTATTATTACTTCAACAGTTCTCATGGTAAAATTTTCCAACAATAGGGCTAGAAGAGCTGTACAGAAGTACATGTATATGTGTAAGTAAGTATCAGTTACATATACCTTCATCCTAGTGATAAGTGCATTAGGACAGAAGCCAAAGATTTTCTCCTATGCCGTTTCCCTTAGGGAACATACAAAGAAAATCAAAGCATGGTATCAGAGTTTACTAAATTAAAGATTAAACTGTTATACGTACAGATCAAATGTATATTTTAATTAGATAAAGCCATACAGCTGAGCCTGTATACAGACATACAGCTGTGCCTTTTAATGTACACAGGTGAGTACTTGGACTAGAAATCGATTTGTTAAGTTTGCATGCACTAACCAGCACAAGTGCTGTATTATCCCTCCAAACAATACAGTGGAAAAAACAAATAGCATTTCATACCTTTTCACCACTCCCAGTATTGTTGCTAATGAGTGTAGTGTAGTTCCCTGCTGCTGTCTGAAACTATCATGTTTTCTCTGCATCTCCAAACAGCACCAAAATATTATTTGTTAAAACAGTTTAGCACAGCTGTCCGTCCATCTATCCAGGCTTAACAGGGCATGTCAAAAGAGGCCAAAGGGATAAACAGATTATTCCAAAACAACTAAAATTGTAAAACTGCAAAGAAAAATCCAGAGGGTGTTGAACTACACAGAAATTCTGACTCACCTGCACAGAGGAAGTGCTGTGGATCATGCTCCACCATTAGTTCAGTAGAGAAGGGGAGAAAGGAGCAAGAGCGCAGCCTCCTTGGTATGAAAGAAAATGTATCTGCCCCAAGTAATTGTGTGAAGGAACACCTACAGTGAACATACACGTATACAACCCTTGATGGAAAACTCATACTGTATATCATGCAACATGATGATTTCTTTGTTGTCTTTTGATTATTTACTAGAGAATAAAATAACCAAACAAGAGACAGTGTTTCTCTGATGTTTTGGGGTTTTATTAATAATACACAATTAGTTTATAAATTCCTCAGTTTACACTAGTGTTTATTTCATTGTATTATTCTGGCAAACAACAGCACGTAAACCTATTAATCTGTGAATTTTATAATACACCTGTACTACCGAAGTGAGGCAAGACCTGGCCTTTATTCTGTAAGAATACTTTTTTGTGCATATGATTTGGAATAACATGTAACTTTCATTAAAGAAGTTGTCTGTGAGGTAAATAATATGAACTCTTCTTTTTTTTTTGTGGCATTTTATGTCTCAGTATCATCTTCAACAGACAATGATTTCATATAATCTCTACCGGTATCAATGTCTGTATCTGTTAATGTCTAGCAGTCCTGGTTTTTGAACAAACTTGGGACTCTGGAGGCTTTCATCATCATGAGTCAGGCTGGCTTCCATATGGAAAACCTTGCTTCTACTCTATTACAAATTGAATTCTAAAAAACATTCCTAGGATGCACTCAATTTTGGAGGATCTTTTTCTTAAACCATACTTGAATGCTACCCTCACAGACTAAAGGTCTGCTATAGTACAATTCCTGGAACTATTTGCTTTGGAGACAGATGCTAATGAACTGAACAGAATCAGACTCTTTCTAAGTCTAAATATAACCTATCCTTAGTGCCTTTTCTACAGAATAACAATATTTTGGGTTCCAGCAAAAGTTTGCTCAAGCTGAAACTACAGACTTCATTTCAAAGGTTGCTGCTTAATGCTACATAGAAATTACATAGTTCAAAAACATTGTGAATGTTTTATTTCTTCCAAAATGGGGGTGGGGTGGGGAGGTGGGGCTTTCAGTTTCATGACTAAATTGTTTGCTAAATGCAGCATGAATTCCATTTGACCTGAACCTGCATTTTCTAGTGATTAGGCTATGCAGCTGAAACATTCTATACCACTTTCTCTGTTCACAGGATTCCTTTGGGCCATATCAATGCTGCAGAGCCTGGTTTGGGTTTTGGGGGTTGATTTGTTTGGGGTTTTTTTTTGATATTTATAGCAGACAAGGAAGTAACTTGATACAGCTTCGATCATCAGAAACATGTAAAGCACCTCAGTGTACTTGAAACAGTTGGATCGCTTTACTACCTCTTTTAACCTCAAAACATATTTAAGTGTGGTTACAATACTGGCTTCGATCTGCATACCTATGCAGTTCAGAGTACGAAAACGCTTGCATTCTGTTTGTCATGACTATGTTGGCAAAAGACCTTTACACTGCCAAAGGCTTCAACTTTTCCTTGAACGTGGCTGACTTGATCTGGGGAACTGGTTTAAAACCAATGCCTGAAGCAGCTGCCAGAGAATTTGTCAACAAAACTATGCTGTCAAACTCTTATATGCAGAATAATCTCTAACATAGGCATAGCCTGATTTTTTTTATTTTTTTTTTTCATTTTAAAAGGAGAATCCACTGGGGAGGGGGGAATATAATGGGGTAAGAAACAAGAAATCTTGAAACTTTTGAAGTCCATGCAAACTAACATGGTAGATTCAAGCAAGCAAAGTAATGCTCAATACTGTAGCTGTTTGATGTATGTATGGTCCTATGGAAATGGCCAGGATTCCTCTTTGTAGGCCCCTGCAAAGTTCTGCCTTCTTTATAGGCAGTGGCCATTTTCAGTTAAACAGGTCCCTATGTGTATTCATCTTTAGAAGCATCATTTTATGTTTCCATGTTAGCACTTGCAAGAAATTAACATACTGTACTGATCTCTGCCATTGGTTTTTAGTACCTTTTTGACTTTCCAGAGTTCCAATATTGGCATGCTAGCAACAACAGAATCAGGATTTTCCTCTGCTGCTGAGTTCACTATGTCATTTGCACCAATGACCCGAGCCAAGTCTGTATCTGAAACAAAAAGGAAATATATTACAAAATGTGTTACTATGAAAGGAAAAGCCACTGCTTCAAGTTATCAAGACAACACCAAAGCACATTAATCAAGCATACAATAAATGATGACAATTTGTTGTTTCATCTGAATTAAAAGAATTAGGTCCATCTGTTGATCTTCAAACCTAGAATCACATCTTGGCAGTTACATGTGCTAACAAAAACTTAAAAAAATGTTGTGCATTCTCTGTGTAAGATACCATGAAAATAAATACTCCTACAATTTAGAGGCAGTCTTACGCAAGGCCCTAGTGAGGTCACTAAACAAAACACATATGTGGAATCTGAGGATGACATCCACTATGTTGTACCACGTAGTTTATTTCAACACTGCTCACTTACAGTCCAAATCTACAATCTCTATTCCGTTCAGTTCCAGTTCCATGGCTGCATGCAAGGAGCATTCCATTTACAGACAGTTCATTGTAGGTCCAGGAATTAGCCTTGCAGTAGAGCAAGCAATTGCACAGCTTGGGTTAACATGGTAGAACATAACTCTAAAAACTGTCAATAGTTCCTTCTAGTCAGTGCTGGTGAATGGTGAACTACTGGAGAAACTACTGATAAACAAATGGGGCTTGGTTTAGAGCTGTAACACCAGCAGTATGGAGTAAGTCACCCTTATCTTCATGCTCAGTGATTGCTTCAAGTAACCTTTAACGGCTTTATGAAATGTGACATCTGCAAAAGCAGTGGTGACTCATCTGCCAAACACACACCCATGTGCCTAGCAATTTTCATTCTTTTTTTTAAGAGTTGCTAACAGTTTGCCCAGAGAAGTCAAGTTTAATGGTCTGTACATCTGTTCAGTCTCCTGGAGTCCTTATTAAAATCAGCATCACATTCCAGCTCCCATTCCTGTTAACCTTTTTAACAACAGGGCTGGCTATGCCTCCCAGGAGCCTGGCAACCAGAGAAGGCAAGGATGTCCTGGCTGTAACAGAACTGATTTTTATATCTTCTGCAACAGGCCTCCAAGTAACCAAGAGGCATGAGCCAAAGGAATTTAGTGTACTATTACATGGAGAACAGCCTCCAAGGGAAAGACAACCAACCATAGGTCTGCAATGCAAGGAGATCAGCCTCATTACAGCAATGAAGCTACCACTATTTCAGTCATTTATGAAAGGTAGATACACCATCTTACCTTCCCAGACTGAGTTTATAGGATGGACAGTGAGTGAGAAACATTTTAAGACTGTCAGCTGAAAAGATTTGAGATGGAATCTTCTCAAAGGTAGTAAATTCAAGATCCCGTGATATTCAGTTGAGCTTGTAAATCTTCCTTCACGAGCTATCATCTGCATATTTGCTTGGAACAAAATAATCTCATTTGACTCCCACCTGTTAAGCTGGGTCCAGAAATGCAGAGCAGCTCTAAAACAGATAAAGCAGTGAAGAGTTCTATGCTAAAAGAAATACAGCCAGTGCAAGGTGATACAAAAATCTGAAGAGGTGCTGTTGAAATTAAAAGATCCCTATCTGTCAGTGGCCTACATAGGCTCTGGTTTAATAGTTGGCCACCTAGGAGAGGGAAGCCTAGAGGCAGTATAGAGCCATTTTTTGCCTTTCTTCCTGATGCTACAGATCATACGCATCTCCAGAGAAATGATCACAGCTGTTATGGCCTTCGTTACTCATGCAATATGGAATATATTAGGAAAGATTTGCCATACTCCCAAACTTAGGACCTATACAGACAAAAAGAAGTGAAAATTAAAACCACAAATCATTAACACTCTGAACACTGATATGTGTGTGTGTCTGTGTGTGCTTTTAACACTGCTGCATTCCATTTGGAATTCAGTATTTTACTGCAAATAAAGTCTCTGACCCTTTTAAAAATAATTTCTTTAATCTTCAGGGGAAGAGTATATAAACATCTTGACTAACAATGAATTTCTAGGACTTTGAGTGTTTTCTGTTGGATTTTTTTATGTGACTACACAAAAACAACAGCACTTAACATTGCTCTGTACAACAGCCTGCTTTGCTGGGGGAGGCACTTTGGCAGTTCTCTTCCTCTTTTTCCATATCCCTCTCCTTTCAGAGGCCCCTCATCATGATGACCCATCCATTTGGCTAAGGGCTTCATGCAGCTGCATCTGAAAGAAGCCAACTGTATTCTTGGGTCAGCTGGAGAAGTCTGCCTGATTACAACTCTAGGTATATACAGTGCTTGTAACACCCACAAGTTGGGGAGAAAAGGCCTAGGCTCACCTCAGCTTCCAGCAGAGTGCAAAACATACCAACCACCTACATAGCAAGTTCTCAATAGCTTCAGGCAATCACTGCATAAAAACTGTTTTCTTTAAGGATTTTTGCCTACATACTTGGAACCATAATCTTTTGCTCACACGCAATAAAACCCTATAACTTCTCACAATTTGTTGCAGATTGTTTGCAAAATGAAAGAAGAATGATTTAGCAGACACATTTCAACTCAGTGGCTCTGATGTCCTGTAGATGGGATGTGTGAAAACTGAATGTTTCCTGATCTGTGTTAGTATTTTCCATTTATAGCTATCCTACAGAAATTAAACTCTCCTAAAACAGCATGGCACAACCTTTTTGGTTATTGTTGCAAACTGAAAATGAACACTGGCCAACACTTGCCATTCTTAGAGGAATCTGAGTGAATTACCCTGCATAAACCTCGGCAGTGCTGGGTTACCCATTTTTAGGAAGAGCAAGAGATTTTTTATTTTATGAGAATTAACACAACGAGGGACTAACTTCAGTGACCTCATCTCATATTTATTTGTTGTAAACTAAGATTTGCATTCAAATGCTCTGTATCCTCAGCTCTGTGCTAGAGACCTTCATTAGTTTGTTAATGTGAAAAAACTCCTAGCAGGGTTCACAGATATGATGCGAGGCTCATTGAGGGCTAATCATAAACAGCAAGTCTGACATCATAGCTGGAATATACATCAGTAGTAAAGCTTCAAAACTCTAGGATATGACTAGTGGCATAAATGTGTTGAAAGGAAGAGCAGTGCAGTTTTAGGTCTAAGGTCTTGATGAGCCCTTGTGCCCTGTGCTGCATCATTACATACATGGCATAGTCCTGCCAATATCTATGCTGTGTTATCAAGCGTGACACTTGTAGTTAAGCAGCATTTTTCATTAGAGCTATAATTATGGTTGTAGATCATTACATCACAATCAGTATTCAGCTTTCATTAATGTTGCATACTTCCAGGACACCGAATTAAATGGGTTTACAGGTGACAAGTAGGCACTAAGTCACAAAAATGTTATACTTCTTAAATACATCTGAACAACAGGTTTCACTGCAAACACAGGAAAAAAGAAATAAAGCCTTGTGTTTTGTGACCAAATGTTTGTTACAATCCCTTCTTAGCTTTTATTGTATTTTGAGTGTCCATAATGCATATTTTCAAGTCTCTTGCGTATTTGTACATCACTAACAGTTAGTACTTAGCACTAGTCTGCAACAGACAAGAAAGCAAAATCTGTGCCCTGAAACACTTAAAATCAAGGAGAAAATCTGGCAAAAACAGAAGAGTAGACCTGTCAAGGTTAAGCTCAGCAATGCTTTAATAGTGTGCTCTCAGGTAGTCTGCAAGTAAGTGACTTGGCAGGTTTAGGATTTCAAGATAAAGAAAGTTGGTACTTTTCTGGGAAGCTCAGGATACTCCAGCTTCCAAGGAAGCAGACCATATACATAGGAACAGAGACGATTAGGCATGACTGTAGAGGTCTGTATTTATGAGCAAAGCCCAGGCAGGTATAACTGCTAACATCAGATGAGACACAGGTCGCATATAAGGAGGGAAGAGGTATTTAACAATTTTAGTATTTATATAACAAGCATGAACTGGATAGATTCAAATTAAGTCGAAAAAAGAGTCTGATGTGGTTAAAGGAACAGTGAAATATTATGCAAGACCCCAGGTAAGTTAAAAAGCCTATTACTGAGTAACGGAACTGCAAATACCTCAACTCTCATCTGCATAACAATACAGTTTGTCTCCTTTATCATTTCAATAGCTTGGTCTAATCCAGTTTCAATGTAAGTTCCAAAATTCCATGCGTTTCCTTCCTGCTGTAGATGCTGTGACAAATCCCCCCCAAAAATGACATTTGGCAAAGATCTGATTGCGGCCTAAAGGTGAATATATTAAATGAGCATATTGGTCAAAACAGCAGTTCCAAGTCCATGAAAAGAATACCAAAATAAATAGTTCATTTGCTGTTAGTTCCCATGTAGTTTGTTTGGGAAGGCAGACTGCATATTCTTCAGCTCATTAAAGTTTACTTTAACAAGCTGTGAAGCTGATACAGCAATGGTTCAACAGTTCAGTACTGCATGGCCTTTTCCTTTTTTTTTAAAGACAAAAAAGCTTCAGCATCCCACTTGGCATAAAAATCACATATTTCAAACAGATTTTCAGATACACCTTTGAGAAAATACTGTTTTCCAGCCCTTTTAAAACTATTTTTCTTCTCCTCCCTAAACTACCTTAACATGTTTCTCTAGCAAAACAAAGATGTTCTTTGTTTAAATAACATCTCCTGTCTTGCTTGTTATGAAACAGCACATTTAACATTTCCCATTTCCTCAAAGTCAATTGCTGGGTGAGATCCTTCAGTGAAAGCCATGCAGCATTTTATAAAATATTACCTTACATTGTTGGTTTTATGAGTAAATCACATTGCTGTTACTGCTTTTCCTAGTTGTTTTTAAAGTTCAACTGACAGATTCGGTGTACTGTTTATACACAGAACAGCTAGAATGTGGGCAAAGCTATGCAAGTTCTCTTAGGGTGTAAGACCACCACTCTGATATGAAGGAATCAACCCTCCCAAGGCCAATTTAATCCCCATACTGATGTGCGAGTGCCAGTCAATACCCAGTCCACCATGCCTGTGACCAGCCACAACTGTACTTGTTAGCATGCTTACACTGTTCAGTGATGTGCCACGTGGAACTGCTTGAGCTCTTTGAGCACACACATACTGCTTGCAATCCTTGAGTTGGCTGGATATCTCTATACAGCTCCACATCATGCAACCCAGACATACTCTGGTTTCTTTGCTGTTCTTGGCATTTAAGGAGTTCATTGCCAAACCCTAATTCTAGAAAATCCACCAGACATCTATCCAGTTGTTGTAACTTTTCATTATTTACTACCATTATGAGCAAAATTGTCAGGGAGCCAGTCCAGTCATCCAATCTCCTGCAACATCTTATTTATTTCTGAAAGTTTCCAAAGTAGACGCCCTGGTTTTATTTCACACAGAAAAGGGGACAAACTAGTGGTATGTCCTTACCACACACACAGCACATGACAGAATAGCTCCATTCAGAGGAACCAGTCAAGAAACCCACAATTGTCAAGACTGTTGTCAAGAAGTTCTGCACACAAGGTTCAGCCAGAGTAACTGGTATTTTAGTAACAGGCATATTTGCTCCACCTACAGCTGTCAGTGTCAGGCCCTGGAATTTAGTAAACAACACATAAGGGAAAAAAGATAAATTAACATTTCAAGAAATTATAATTCCTGAAGTATTAAATAAGTGAAACAAAAGTTAATAAAAGTTCATTCAAGTACCCAGTTAGCAGAAGATTGTCACCTTTGATCATTATTGGGTTTGGTCACGTAAGCAGATATGCCTTTTGAACTTTTGATGAAAGATTATACAGCCTTAATAGGGGCTGAAATCATTTGTTATTTTGCAGGACAAGACCTTATTCTTTCCAAAACTAGTCCACAGTTACAGCAATGGCTAGGATTACATATACATCTGACTAGATAAACATCCACAGCTTATTTTACAGCAATGCTGCTGGCTAAAAAGTTTTGGATCTCTGCAGTGTGGTTTGTGGGATCCTGAAGGGTCTTGCGGACTTGTTATGGAATTTCTATAGGGCTAGATAAACACTCTGCAGAGTACTTTGTTGATTCCTCGTAATTTATGCCAAATTTTTCAGCTAATGTGCAAGGCTACATTGTGGCTAGTGTTCAGCAAGCACTGGATGTGCGTGCAAAACCCTTACATTTATTTGCAATGAAGAGGTCCAAAAATTGCTCTCTTGATACTATTACCATCATCAAGGGGAGTCCTATAACACCAAGATCGTACACTAATGCAGGGGTGCAGCCCACATCCAATCTAGCAATCATCATACTAGCCCTGGATGCTGTGATCTCGCCAGCATTCAACTAATGGTGCCTAAGTAGAAATGGTGTCATGATCAGCTGGAAGTGAGCATGGCTGCTGTAATGCTTCTGTATATTTTATTTTTATATATATATGTATATGTATATATATATTACTTTGGTACTAAAATACTTCAATGTTAAAGTGCTAGAATTTGAGATAGACTACAGACACAGAATAAAAATATCAAAGATACTGGGCTCCTTGGAAATTACTTTAGCTGGAAGAAGAAGGATCCATTTATTGCAGATACAAGACAAGAACAGTAATTTTTTTGGAAGGAATTGTCAGAAGTGGAAGTGTGTCAGTTTGTATCATTCTGAGTGACTCCTACTGCAGCCTATTAATTATGGGGAAACAAAATAGTTTGATATACGATTGCTTTGTAGTAGAAAATAGGACAAATTATTGATAGCATAGAGCTTCAATAGCTGTATGTCATCACAGTAGAAAATAATTTGATACATAGGGACCTAAAAGATCCTACTACAATTCCTCTAGCCATTAGTTGTTCACATAGAAATCTTAGGAGTAATGCTCTACGGAATCTAAGTCAGACTTTTAGTTAAACAAACACTCTCTAGCCAATCCAGCAAACTAAACCCTGATCTTCTAATCAACACAGAAGTCGAAGTCACCAGCTTTCTCCTCTTTGCGTTCCAGTTCTACCAAATTTGTTAAGTTGTGTAAGGCTACTTCCCTACCCTTGCAAAGGAGCTAAGAGAATTTGCCCTTACCTCCTCCTAGGATTCAACTGTATTTTGAGGAAAGGAAAGCAAAGCAAGGCGTCTGATTCATCCTAATTTCATATGACAGACTAAAGAGTACCCAGCAGTTTTCCAGAAGCCCCTAAAGCAGCACTGAATGCTACATCTCCATACAGTGGCCAGATATGCTACGATTTTGAGAACCTTGGCAGAAGGGTAAACATCAAGGTGTGGATATTCCATCACAAACTTGGCAATACACATAAGAACTGTTGCTGCCAAACCAGCTAGACTATGAAATGCAGATACAAGCTGAGGAAGGTCAGAGATTTCAGTTCATTTTGCAATGGTAAGACCTGCAAAATTAAATGATTTAGATCCAAAACAAAATATTACATTGTGTTTCATACTCAAAGCATAAACAGACCATTGAGCAAGAAAGGGCTGTTTACTTTTTAATGCTGTTTTCCTTTTAGTACAATTAAATAGAAATATAATAGTTATAGGAAATTTTAACCCAATTTAAGTCTTTTCCAAAAATACATTGCTAGAACATTTTGGGATGACAGCTTGTAAGAAACAGAGCCAGAACAGCTCTTTTGAAGCCACTGTTTCTTGCATATGGGAGAAAGTTGTGCAGATACACCCGCCAGAGTTTCCAAATACATTTTGCCCACATGGAACCAAGGCAGGCAAAATGGCTCTGAACACATTAGAAGACTGCTACAATCTAAGTGACAAACTGGCAAAGAAGTAGTAACTTACCCTCTTCTCTCTTACCAAGTTACAGCCTCAACCTTTGAGAGTGTCTGTTAGCCTCCATAGCATCAGATACAAAACCCTCAGAGATACAGTATTAAAACTACATGCAATTTTAAAAACATTTATTTTCCTTCAAATTGATAAATTCTAATTCAGATCAACTGTGGCAGTTCATAGATTCATAATAAAAATAGTTTCAGTTGAGAAAATAAAAGGGAAGTTCCAGAAAACATCCAATAATTTCAGTCCTTTTTGAAACACCAATTTTTTATTTCAGAACATTAGACTTTGACAAAACTTAAGCTTTTAATCGGTATTTCTTTCACACCAACTTAAAGTCCCCCCCCTTCAGTTAGGAGTGCCACCTCTGGAAGTTTATATACTTTCATTATAACTTCTATCCTCTCAAAGAGTAGTAAATTAATTAATAACACTTAACACGGATGCTGTGAATTGAACACTGCATAAAAAGCGTACATACACACCATGCCACTGAGAGCCAGGACTACAGACATCTGTGCAAGCACTTCTGGTGAAGATTTGGTGCTCCTACTGCTGCTTGCTCCTAAACCTCTGACACCCCAATCACACCAAGGGCATCACCAAATCACAGAGGTGTTTTGGCTAGAGAACCCTGCCAGCACTCCTGCATAGCACACAACTGAACCAAAACACATCATCTGAAAACAAAACCAAAGAAAAAAAGAAAAAGAACATGTATCATTGTTGTACAAACCTTAACTCTTTGTAAAAGAATACAAAAGCATTGGAAGGGTTTTAAAATCTCAAGGAGGATGAAGAACTAATAGTTTATTTCAAATATGAGAAAGATTTTTTCTCAGTTTATTAATGCAAGTACCCATTTCTGATTGTAAAGCTCCTGCACATTCCTCCTCCACATTTTCTGGTTTCTGTATTTCTTTGACATCAATCCATGAAGCGATCATGAAACTAATTCGCATCCCAGCAGCTCAATTGCAAGATCCATTGACATATATTGGAGTACATGTTTTCAATTACCATCAACACTGGCATATTGTTTTCTAATATTGGTCTACAATGCCTCAACTACTGCCTTATTCTTTATTATTTTCAGGCTTATTTCTTAATCCTCTATCAAGAGAAAAATACTTATCACATTAGTTCAAGACGAAAGATATTACACCTTTCCTAGGTTTGTCCAGTACTGGACAAATTTAAAACTGTTTTAGACACTATACCTCATGGGTAAAAGCAGTATATTTTATCAAATTAAATATGAAGTAAACATTCTCTCTTATTGTTATTCTACATATCTATATTTAATATTATTATATTTATATTTATTATTATATTTAATTATTAGAGTTATTTATTTTTATTTATTTATTAGATATTATTTAATATCTAAATATTAGATATTAAAATGTTCTGAAATTCCTACATGACCTCATTTAGTAAACATGCAGACTTCCTTTGGTATTTAAAGAGCACATGGTGACAATTCTAAATAATAAATTGTCTTTTAACCTGCATCACTGAATTAGTTGAAAGTATGATCAAAAACAATCAGAAAAACCCATGATGCTCAAATTGTAACTATTAGACAAATATAGCCATTCAACATTCTTGGAACACTGTAAAGGCCAAAGACCATGTGTTGGCCTGTATCCTCAAGAAATATTTACGGGCTTTTCAGAAGTCTAAATCCAAAAACATAAATCTGACAGAAGGGAAACTGTCATATAAGGATATTAACAATGCTGAGATGAAGCAAGTTTTTATATATACTGTATCATGAGAAGACTTGGGGTTAAACAGACTAGCTGTATGACTGTATTGATGTGGCTTGTACTGCAGCTTATGGAAAAGATGCAACGTAACAAGCAGCAAGAAGCAACACAACCAACTTCCCAGAACACACCTCAAGTATTCATATGTAACACATCTGGAAAAAAAAAAATACTAGCTTCAGTGATTTCATACCTTATCTCTAAGAAGAAACAATGCAGCATGTAATTTTGATCCAGTGTTTGTTCAATTATTAGCCTGGTCCTCACAATCAGGTCAAACTCTAAGTGTAAGAATGAAAGGCTCCTTTGTTTGCAGAATATAAACTGAAAATGCCTGTTACAGGTTCTAGTTCAGTCTGATCTCTGTCAGTCTTAAAATATTTATTACTTTTTAAGATTTTATTCATCTATTCCCTCCAAGCAGTATAGCACAAAGCAAAATGTTTTACTTTATTCTTTTAATACACATGAGCTATTCTGGTATGGCAGTACAATATCATTTCAAAGAATGGGTTTCCAACGTAAAACTGACTGTGAAATAACCATTTGGAAAATAACCTTTATTACTTTGTATATTGACTGCCATGTAACCTTCTAGTAAGGTCCAGCACATGCATCAGATTTCTCTCCAGCAATGGTACTGTTTGAAAAACTTTGAAGAATTAATGAAGTAACCAACACCTCATTTCTTCCAGATTCAGTGCTGAAATATACCTCCCTTATCTGTCTTCTTTTAGTGCAAAATACCACCTTTCTCTGTCTATACTAAAGATAATTGCCAATTAGAATCTACCCCTAGGAAGAGATTGCTCAGTTTTAATAAGTTTTAAATACCACATGCATCTGGATGTAGATTAAAAAAGAGCAGATAAAAGTCAATATTGTCTCTCTCCTGATGTACTTATAAACTAAACTAAATACAGATTGGTACTTCTGCAAATGAATTAAATCCTTTGATGAATGCGTTGCTGCTTTGTAACTAACTGAACATTATGGAACTGGCAATGAAAGGCTGTTTTCTCTTGAATGAAACATAGCACAGTCAAAGGAATATGCTCAAATAAGGACAGTAGAAAACAAAAAGGCTATAAAATCGTCTCCCTGGCCCTAGGGATAACAAATTCCATGATCTAATGAAGAAGGGTGGCAAATATTTGCCCATATAAGTGAATGGTTTTCCAGCAGGGCCTGATTCTGCACATATCCCTTGTTTCTCACTGCTTGTAGCATTAATATTTCAGGCAGGATCAGGCTCTTTGCTTGCTCGTATGGCTAGGTTTGCTAGCACAGACCACCCTCCTAGTTTTGAATTACTTAATTATTGAACAGAAGAATGCTGAACATTGAATAACCTGTTCAATGTTGTGTTAAATGGCATAGAAGGATACCATACCCTCCTTTAAATGCTGCTTTAGGAAGAAGGCAGAGATAATCATATTCTGGAGTAGGTCATTGGAACATATCCAGCATTCTGCGTAATTAAGAAGTCACCTGTTCAGAAATTAAATTTCACCTGTAAGATTTAAAAAAAATATCAAAATTGTTGAAATTTTTATTCAGACAGAGCTCTGAGCAACCTGACCTAGTAGAAGATGCCCTTGCTCATTGCAGAGGGGTTGGATTAGACAATCTTTGAAGGTTCCTTCCAACCCATACCATTCTATGATTCTAAGAGAGGTTTCCAGCAAGAAACCCTATCTGTGGATGGGTAGTCTCAGTGTAAGAGTGGTCAGGCTAAAATATGAAAGTGCATCTTGACTGCGGCTATTTCCAGTGAGCCTATTGAATCAATTTACTTTAATCTATCCCTCTCTTCTATGCACATCTCTGCACATATTTTTTGTTACAGGTTTTCCACACCTGAATAGTCACTCTTATGATCCAGAAGTCTGTAATTATTTTTCACCTTCATGGTTAGCAAGAAGAGACTTCAGGGGCTGTCCTAGCTGTTTAATGTTTTTCCTAAAAAATAAATCAGGTTACTGATTTTGATACCTGATTAGTACCAAAAACCTAGCATTAGACATACTGAGCTTCAGAAATAAGTATGCTATAGGGAAAATAAGTCCCACATGCAGTTTTGTACTTCTATATCATGGCAAAGGCATGTGGTATCTCAATGAGGCAAAGTAACCTAGCTACCTGTGTACCAAAGAAAGATACTTGTGTATCTTTGGGAAACTTAACCTAGTAGTTTCCTGACCTGAAGAAGCATTCTCCTCTTTTGGAAACATCCTATTTGTCAGACAAAAAGGGTATTAAGCAGATTCTATGCAGATGAAAAAGCAAAGAATATAGACAGATATACCTGAGATGACATCCAAGTTCTCATCATGCCTTCTCGCTATTCCCATTAATTCTCTTAAACATTTTCTTCTTTGGTCATTTTGTCACTCACAGAAATACGTATATTTACTGTTGAGACAATGGGTATAAACAAAGTTGATGCTTATATGTCAGTATTCCTGTATTTACAAGTAGTGATCATTACTTGGCAACTTTGGTTGCCAGTAAAATTTATGTGTAGGAACACACATAATGGATCTAATATGAAAACAGTATTATTTAGTACCTGGAGTAAAAGTTTTGAGGCAGGAACTTAAATTGTAATCTCATTTGTAATTCACTTTGGGTAAGTCATTAATCTTGTTTTGATTTCTTGTAAGTCCCTCCTAATGAAATTGAAATAAAATCTCTCATAATGAAGTACACAACATAAAAAAGCAGCAGACAGTACACTCAGCAATAATAAATGCAATTTCTGGCATCAGAGGCAAACGGAGGCCAGGTGTAACTTGCTGGGTATTGCGATAACCACTGTTCCAAGCAAGAACAAATCTGGTCACTATTTGAATAAAAGGATTGGGATAAACAAGAGTCAGTCCGAAAATGAATGCCAAACCTATAAAGAAAAAAAGTATGTACTCAGAAGAATAAACCAGCACTTTTCTTTATTAATCATAAAACAAGGGATCAAACCCAAACCCTACTTCCACTAAAATGTCACTGACACCCATGACAGCAGAAGGCATTTCCTGCACGTGACTTTAAACATGCATAACTTGTAGACATTGTTTTTGCCAGAAAACTAATTTTGGAATAATGGAATCTTTGTCAAACTGAGGATGAATTGGGGACCCCAGGATCCAGCAGATGCATATGGGACTGCCAAACTAGACTTTAAAAAATATTCCACTTGGGCAAATATGGAGAAACAGTTTATTAAAAAAAAAATAAATAAATATGTCAAATTCCCCAATGACTTCTCACAACCTTTACTGCTTTAGTAGGAATACAGACCACAGTGTAGCATCTGAACATTGTTAGAAGATGCAAGACCACACAAAGAGTTCAACAATACTTCCTTGGGAGAAAATATTATTGCTCCCAGTACTAGTTTCTTTGACCATATGTGTTGGTGGTTTAAGGAAATGTTTTTCCCTCTTTAGGAAAGGAATAGATCATTTAATTAATCCAAGATAATATAATATTTTAGAGACATATTTTGTCATCACTTGCACAATGTTTTGTTAAATATACCCAAGTATATTTACTGAGGAAATCATTGTACAAATTTCTCAGATGAAGACAAAGCTCAGGGTAGAAACGTATCACAATCTCAATCTTGGAGAGCACATGAATTTAATTTTCAATTGGATTATCATTTTAGGAGGATTTTAATAAAAAAAATTAAAACTTGCATGCAAATTGCCCAATATTAATCAAAGAAAACGGATCTTCAAACAAGGATGGTACTTCGGACAAAACATTTTAAGTCCATGACCCTGGGAGGAGGCAGTAAGAAAGGTCTTTCAGATGCTGTACAAAGCTTGGTTACGGAATGGTTTGTTAAGTTAAACAGACTTACTTCTTTTTTTTTTCTTCCTCTAAGAAGGAAGAAAGCTTTCTGTGCCACCAAAAATTGCTTTCCTTGAGTTCATATATTTCTATTGTTACTCATTTACCTTGAACAGGAGCTTTGAAGGTAGTGAACCCTTGAAATATGTGCTGCATGTATCTTTCACTGTACCATTTGCATTGTTCTTTTCTTCATTCTATCATTATTTTTAAAAACATTTAACACAAAGAGTGTAACAATCTTGTTTATGAGAAAAATCTGATTCAACATAATCAAAACCTTGCTATATGATTCATTTTCCATTTCCTACATATATTTCAACACAGATAATGACATCTGGAGTTCTGCAGTATATACAGACCCTAATCCAAAAGCTTTTGAGAACAGTCTATGTTAATTTTAATTGGCCCTGGACTGGGTCCCTAACCTATATGTTGGCTCTTCATTTCATACAAAATTAATATCAGAAGAAGTTTCTTGGTAACAAAAGGTATAGTGATTCACCAAAGATCCCCCAAAGTTTATATTTTCTTCACTTGGAAAGCAACATGATGTTAGAAACCCTGTTTTACCACCGCCTGCTGCTTTTCAGTGTTAATCTGCACTACCTTTCAGGATCTTATTTTATTTTTACATAATTATTCCTAGCATTGCTCATCATTTAAATGCCAAACTGGCAAGAAGAAATATGTGTAAGTTAATTCCCTTGTACCTTTTATATAAATTCCAGTTGTGTCAACAATTTTCCTAGATTGTAAGAGCATGCCTCTTCCTATTCTTGTGCCTTTTCTTTAATAGAAAGGGATACTATACTTGGGAAGGTTATTGAAAAAACACTTTACACCTCCTATTGCAGAACAAAACAATTAGGATGAATTCCATTTGTATCTTACCTTTCATTACGTTATGGAGGTACCCTTCAGAAAAAGTTCTGTCATGGTTACTCGTCTGTCCTTCTGAAACTAGTGGGATTACTCACATGATCGGACAGAATGGGATTTGGTCCTTACCTTATACTGGTTATGAAAACCCTTTGTCTGTAAAATAGCATTAACCACTGAATTCAGTCAGCTGGAAAAAACATTTCTGTGTTCTTACTGCACCAAATTTGGCCTGATATATTTCATATGTAATACACCTAATACTGGAGAGGGGAAAAAAAAAAAATCAACAACAAAAATACTCTCCCCTCAAAATCAAAACCAGAGAAACACACAAAGCCCAGAAAACAAATGTTAAACAAGAACACCTACCTAAATCCTAGACTACATTCCTTAAAAGCTGAACATGAATATGCTTCTTTACAAACACTTTCTTAGGGAACAGTAATTCCTGTCTGCCAACATTTAAATGTCTAGCATGACTGTACTTTGGTTTAATGCTACCTGGAGGCAAAATGGATTCCTGTCAATCTCCAACTCACCGTGACTACAGAAATTAAGCCTTCCTCTTTACTACATCCAAAATAAACTTCATTGAAAAAAGAAAAAAAACCCAAGTCTTATCTCAAGAAACATCTTGCATAAAGAAAATTGCAGCCAACATACAGGTAATATCAGTTCTCACAAATCTCCTGATTTAACTGCATACCTAGTTCCTTTTCTCATCCCAGAATAAAGAGCCAAAGGATGTAGAAAGATATGAGAGCTACTGCTATTACAACAGAGACTATGCAAGATATAGCCTAATGATGTCGTACCAGGGTTGAAGTACGTCTCATATTTTGAGGATAAATTCCTGCTCTTTCCACTCTACCTCTCCTGACCTTGGCACAACGACATACTAAGTGTTGTTAAACCATTTGGGGTTGGAAGGACTTGCACTTCTTGAAGTCCTTTTGAGCTCACCTATTCCTACTTGTCAGCACTTTAGTTCAAAGCATATGGATTGGGAGTCCATAAACTATCTTGCACTTGAAATCATATTGCTTAAGGCACAGTTCAGTAGCCCAGGAGATAGGCTGATTCTTAGTAACACATTCTTTAAAAACAGAAGTTTACAGTAAGACAGTAATTTTACAGATCAAGCATTCTATAAATCTCTTTTTGCCCCATATTTTCATGCTTGAAAGATGCAAGAAACTCCCACACATTATCATGTAGACATTGAATGATAATGTTTCCTTGGAATGTCTAAACTAACAATCATAGTTTTCATACAACACAATTTATATGTTTTTACAAAAAAATTAAGTGGTGTTGAAACTCACCTTCATTACCAAAATTCCTTTAATGACATGATCAATAGCCCCATAATCTAAATCATCCTGTTGTTCAAAGCGAAAATATTCTCCTTCTTGGGAGAAACAGCTTTAACAATTTCAAGATGTTACTGGAATAAAGGCTACTGGCTTGAGTAGCCATTCTATTTGGCAAGTCCTTGTAACCAGTGTTCACCACACCCTGATGAGAAAGAAAAGAAATAGTTGTCAAAGCTTTCACATACTGGAAACTTTTCACATGTTCTCCACAGATCTGAAGCCTGTTTTATACATGCTAGTAAATCAAATTTGCATATTACTGCAGACATGAGTTACTAAAGCTTTCTTTTACAAGTTAAGGATTCTGTTTAAAACTAATAGCTTTCTCTGATGCATGACCAAAGAGAGTCAGCAGTTTTGTCAGGAAGCCAGAGACTAAATGAGCTGAGAGGCCAGTCAGGGAACTGGTTACAAACCATATGGTGCTTATTTTTGAGAATAAGAAATCCACTACTTCTTCAAATTCAAAAACACCTCATGATTGTCTGATAAGAATCACATTGCACAATGTGTTTCACAGATCAATTGCACTCCAGTCAATCCCAAGGAAGATACAGATACCTTCAAAACTTAAATTCTTTGCAAATACATCTGGATAAAGATCATGTTTCTTTAACATCCCTTCATATTATTATGAAGGCAGAACATAAAAAAAAAACCACAAGAAAATTCTAATGCCATTCTCTGAAAACAAGTTGCACTGAATTCTGATCTTGAACACTGTACTCTAAGTTACTGTTTCTTTCTTTCATTGCATCATTCCACGATAGCCATCTGGACGTTGCAGTTGCCAGTTCATCCCACATGCAGCCACACATTGACTTCAGTACACATCCTGGAGTAAGTCATGCCATGATAGTCAAGTATGGGAGCCACAGAAGTCAATACAAGGTAAATAAAATTACTTTAAGCAGGACTGTTCATTTCAGCTAGCTTTCCAGAACAAGCCAAAGTTTGTATCTACTATCTGGAAGACAGTGAAGGCTGCAAGGAATAGCAGTGAATTCTGATATTCCTTTATAACCCACTTCCCAAATTGATCCTGATGAGAGACTTCTCCTCAGGTAAATTCCCACAAACAAATGATAGCATTTTTAATTGTTTCAAATAATGATCTTTACAAAGAAAAACAAATGACGCTAGTAGAAAAAGCAGGGGAAATGCAGCATTATAGTTATTACTGAAGAGAGTTAGGTAGAGAATAGCAGTTGCATAGAGGATTTCTCTCATATTCGAAGTGGTTTTGCACTACAGGACTCTCAGAATTTAGGTAAGTTTTTCACTATGCAAGCTGGGTATTTAAAATCAATAGATTGAACATAACCTTTGAGCCCCATGGCATACGTGCAAGTCTTCTGTGTGCCTAAAAGCCCACTGCTACACCAAGCATAGGGCAACATGGGATATGCAGTCTAGACCGCACACGTGAGGAGAGGCAGCCAATACCCAAATGGTTGATTACATGTGACATGAGACCAGAATACTTGGAAAAAATTCAATATAGGAAGTATTTAAATTTGGAAGATCTAAATAAAATCTAAGTATTTCAGTTCATCATTTCCACAGAAAATCAGCAGAAATATTTGTTCTTCACAGAAAAAAAAAGCATAACTGGAATTTTCCTGTTATGATGAGGATAGCAAATTCCTTCTCAGCTCTGCTAAACGTACAGTTGGGAATTATGCAGACTTTACCATCTTTATTCAAGCTCCAACATTACAAAATTGAGAGTAATTTGGACAATTAATTTAGCACATACCTGGAGATTAAAAAAAAATAAAGAAGCAAAGCTAGGCCCTCCTAGAAGAACAGCATAGCCCAGCAAGTCTACAAACAATTGATACCAGTTTTTATGATGTCTGACATTGAGTTTTAACTGCTAGAACCAGTTCATTGCATGAAAATAACCTTCCGTTTGAAAACCATCATTGTAACTAAAGATGCAAGTTGAAAATGTGACCCCTGAGAAAATATGCAAGAAAAAGTTAAGACTGATTACATCTTCATGCATTTTAAAAATGGTCCCTCATCTTCTTGTGTGTAACACCACTTAGGACTGCACTATTCTGAAAAAAATAAAAAACCCAAACAAGAACAAACAAAAACCCCAAACACACCACAAAATAACTGGTAAAACGAACTCTTAAGACAATACTCATATGCTCTGTCAGCAGACACGTAATTGCAGCTTTATATAATCTTCATACACTGCATGACTTTTCCATATCACACCTGAGCATAGCCTTCCTCTAAAAATGTTAATTCTTTTAATGGCAACCGAGTAATATCTACCATTCATATTGTACAACAGTGACACAGAACACTAATATTGAAATTAAAACTAAATTTCTTTTTCTCTTTTTCTATATTTGGAATTGGACACTCAAAATCCTTTTTAATAAAGCTCTAGGGATGACTATAAGAGCATTTATGGATATCATTGTAAAAAAATGTTACCATTCTTAGAAGTCACAACCCATAAAACATTCAATGACAGAATGGTGTCTGGATAATATTCTAGTTTGTGGTTTCATTACTTGTGAAAGATTTTATTACCCCACAACACATTGGTAACAATTCCATGACAGACTGGCAGTGGTTTCAAGGAAAGAGTCTTCATTACTATAATATCTATTACTTTTTAATTTGTTAGAGAAACACTGTATAATGTACACACCTTACAAATGTAAATTTCTACAGGATGAGTCATTTCTACTTCACTTACAGCCTCCCAGCTGTAATTACTGATCATTCTTTCATTGAGTCCATCATATACTTAGTGAATAGAATTAGAGCTTTCTTCTCCAATTTCATGTATAAGAAAGCAAACCAATAATTCTTACTGAAGAGGGTAAATGGGAAAACATGCAATACACATAGGTGCTTTCAGAAGTAAATGTAAAATATTAATCACGTTAAGTCTGAACTGAACACTACTAGGAAAAAGAAGGAAATACTCTAAACCACTGAATTTAACTGAAATTAAACCTAATCCTGAAGCCTTTACCCATTACTAGTTTTTAGCACATACCCAGATACATGCATACCCAGATACCCGCATATTTCACTAAGAAGGTTATACTAACAGGGACGTATATTTAAGTTCTCCAATAGTTATAAGCAATATCTTACCTGGAATAAGAGCTGTACTAATATCAATACCATCACTTTACACTGTTTGGCAAATAATACCAGGTTTGTTTCAATATATTCTCGTGACATGTCCTTTGCCTGGCCTCCAACACCCTTTCCTCTTCCAGCAGTTACCTCCTTCTAGAGGTTCTACTCCAAGAGATTTAAGCTGTCCTAAGCAGAAATAACGGAGAAGACAGATATAGGATTATAATTTTTTCTGTTTGTGTAAAAAACAACCATTGCAATGTTAGCAGAAGCAGACAATAGCAGTTAACAGACTCTCTCCTCATAACTAGATTTGTTAAAAAAAGGGACAAGATTCAGTTTTTCATATGCAGTAGGCAAACCAGGCTGTGCTAACTTATCAGCTTTATATTTTTTATTTATTTTTTTATTTATTTTATTTTATTATTTATTTTTTATATTTTTTATTTTTATTTTTATTTTATTTATTTTTATTTGGAACAAATTCCAAAAAATAAACCGATGATTAAAATTAAGTTTCATACATGCAAAAACACTTACCTAGCTGTTTATTTTACCAAAGAAAAACTGAAGTTTTGCTAGATAGTTGTGGCTCATTGATGCTGTTTCTAACACATTTAATAACTTCACTGGGAAAAAACTAACTGCCTTCTTAAGTAATGAGAATTGCTGATCCCTTAGACACACAATTAATTTACCCAAGAACACCCACTTAGTACATGGATGAGTGCCTAATCAGCTCATGTGTGAGCACTCTAAGTAGCATAAATTGCAAGGTTTGGTAGCAGGGCTCTGAAACCCATATAAACACCCTCACACACCCCAAAAGCTGCCAGAGCATCACATGGCAAACCTTCCTCACACATGTAAGCAGTATCTGCTAGGGTAAGAGTTGTGAAGATACGCAGAGACACATGGAGTGTTGAGGAGACAAGCATATAATGAGACGTTCTTTGAAGCAGGCGTTCTATACCAAAAGGAATTCTATATCTGAGGGACATGCGCTCAGGGATGACCCAATGCTGGGGTAGAAGCAGCCATGAGGGGTGGGTCAGACACAATTGAACACAACCCCACATTCAAAGGAATTGGGATGGATTAAGTGTAACGTGCAGGAAAAATGAGGAAAGTTGAGACTAGGAAGGTGCAAGGATGATGATGTTTGCCTTAAGCTGGGCCCGGGAAGTAAGAAGAAAGAATATTTAAGTGTTTTAAAAATTATGTTCTTTTTTCCTGAATATTCATACCAGTAATTTGAAGTTTGTGTTAATTAGCAATAAAGTAAAAATTCTGCAAGTTGTAGCTCTTTTTCCTGTGACAGAGAAACCTGGCAGATGGCTTTTGAGGGATATCCTTCAGTGCAAAGAGGGATATACCAGAATATATCATAAAGCACTAAGCAGCGTTCCAGATTCTAGGCCGTATTTTCTTACTCTACCTGGTATCAAATCCCCAGAGAGTAACTCCCATCCCTGCAGCCAGCCTAGCTATGCCACCACCAATTATCAGCATCTTGAGAGATCAAACAGATAATGAAGTGCATTCTATGTTCACTTATTCCATCACATGCTGTGTCTGCAATATGCCTTATCTTCAAAAGCACTTGAACTTTAAAGAGCATCAGAGGCTAAAAACTAAGTACTTCAGGGAAGTAAAGGAAAAATCTTATCTCAACAATGCAGTATAGTTAAACAGCTGGTTTAGGCTATAGGAGCAGGTGGTCATCTGTACGAAAGGTGCCATATGCAGAAAATAAGACAGAAATAAATTAGGAAGAATTAAGTTAAACAAAACATGACTAGAGCCACTTTTTTCTGTTCCACAGGATACCGGACTTAACTTGGACTTGGATAACAAAGGATGCTAACCCTATTTGCCAAGCTATGCAAATGTTTTCCTTTAATACAGCTCTTCTCAGGATGAATTCTGACAGGTATAGTGAAACTAGTATCAAAAGGCAGTTCAGAATGAAAGAAAGACTGTTTTAGGATCCTTAAAAAAAAATAAAAATAGTGACTGTCCTTCTGAGGCATGAAGTGATTTAATATATATTTTATGCTTAAAATAATTGCAATCAATCAAGCATTTACCAAAAAGAGATGAGAAGCCAAAGGCAAAACTAAGACATAGATAATACGTTCACCTACAAACTTCAGTTAGCCTTGGTTGCACTGGATTTTAGGCAAGTGAGAACAAACAGGAGTCCTTGATGTTGGTGTCCTGCCAAGCAAAACAGATCTAGTACATCTTTTGGAGACCATCCTGTGAACAGTCCAATCCTGACCCCTTGGGGAAGTCTTAAAAGGTTTTGATCCAGAAACCTGCATTCAGAGATGCTCAAATGCAGTTAAATGAGCTTCTACAAGACAGCTCACATGTCTAAAGCCAGTGTGATCCAGCAAATCCAAAAACAACCACAAGAAATCAAGCACTATTAGTTATCTCTTCGAAGGGTCATGTGGGAGAGCTGAACTGCTTTATCACACTAGTAGTCCAGCTTTACAGTATGCAATTCTACTCTGTAAATATCAGTTGGAGCAACTGTATCTTCAGAGGAGACACTTGTCCTCCTGCTGTTATCTAACCAGCAAAATCCTTGCCAAAATAGCCACCACCACTGATTTGGACCTATAACATGTAACCAGATAACATTATAGGGAGGTAGTGGCACCCTCAGATGAGAAAGTATTCAAGTACCCATGCCAAAAATATGCATTGAAATATCATACTTCCTAGAGTTCAGATGTCAGTTTAAAATTACAGAAGCAGAGCCAAAACCTTCAGACAAATACACAAGCCAAATTAATAAGATAATTAATAGAAGCCTCATAACAATAGCATAATAGACATCTTAAAGCAATAAATTTTGAAACAGTACATTCAAATGTCATTCCAGTTTATACCAGTGGCTTGAAAACTAAATGTTTCATGGAAGACAAATGCTAGGAAAAGAATGCATACCAAAGGCGCTGACTCACAGCATAAAGTGCTTCTTGCAACTGCAATATTTGAGTTATTTAATTTTGTGGCTCAGCTGACATACCTATACTTAAGTGTCATCCCTCTTGCATAGAATGTGGACAGTGCACAGGACTGCTCATAGCTATTCCAGGAATTTACAGCACAGGTTCCCTTGCTAAAGTAATGCATTGATGATTACACAAACTTTCCATGAACTGGAAAAATAGGGCAAACTTTTCAGTTACCTTCAAAAGGAAATATATTTGAAACATAAGTTGCATTCACAGTTACATGCTGCTTAAGCTTTTACAATTTATCTCTCCCAATAAGCTATTGTTCAAAAATCTTCTCAATTTATTGTTCTTTGTTCAGAGAACAAGAGGTGACCCAAAAATATACACCAAAATGCTGTCTTGTGTTAACATTTTGTAGCAATATGGACCACAGTAGAATATACCTTTGTTACAGCAAGCTTTTTTGTTAGAAACATCTAATAGTTGGGGGAGAGAAGGGGGAGAATGCTCTTGGTGGGTGGTTTTGTCTGTTTGCTGCTTTGTTGTTTGGTTTGGGTGGTTTTTTTAGTTATTAGGGAATTAAGAATTACTGATTTCTTCAGAAGAGCTTCGGGTATGCAGTAATTTGGAGATGGAGGGTTGCTGTTGTTGGCTGATTTTGTCGAAGAACGCTTTTCAGGACAGTTAACTATGGGTTTCTCAATGTTTTTTTGGGATTTTTGGCCTAAAGTCCAAGTAATTTCAAGATTTTGCTTATCAAAACTGAGCAATTGAAAACCTTTTCCCACTTTCAGTCTTCTTAAGACCTTTTCCTCCTTCTTTCAAAGCTTAAAATAAAATTAAACTGGGCATGGGAGTGGAATCCCCTTTATCCTAGAAGGGTAACAAAATATAAAACCAATCTAACATCAGTGATCTAAATGCTGAAGCAGGGGGCATCCAGTGCAACTCTCCTGATTTCTTGGATAGAGATGACAGAGAAGCTGGTCCATGTAAGTACTGCAGGGTAAGATAGGCAATCATTCTGGGAATTCTTATATTCTATAAAAATCAGTATTCTGTAGCTAATGGTGAGTGATAGTTTAGAATCACAGAGTACTTACAATTGGAACGGACCTTAAGATGATCTAGTTCCAATCCCTCTGCCATAGGCAGGGACACCTCATATTAGATCAGGTTGCTCAAGGCTCTGTCCATCCTGGCCTTGAACGGGCAACTACCTAGGGACGGGCAGCCATCACTCTCATACTAAAGAATTTCTTCCTTATATCAAACTTAAATCTCACCTGTTTAAGTTTGAACTCTTACTCCTCATCCTGTCATTACACCCTGATGAAGGGTCCCTCTCCTGCATCCCTGCAGGCCCCCTTCAGATACTGGAAGGCAGCCTTCTCTTCTCAAGGCTGAACAGCCCCAATTTTCTCAGTCTGTATGGGAGGTGCTTGAGCTCCTTTATCATCCTCAGGGCTCTCCTCTGGACTTACTCCAGCAGCTCCATGTCCTTCTTATGCTGAGAGCACCAGAACTGTACACAGTACTCCAGGCTGGGTCTCACAACAGCAGAGGGGCAGGATCACTTTCAGCTTGATGGCCATGCTCATTTTGATGCAGCCCAGGATATGGTTGGTTTCTGGGCTGCAAGTGCACATGGCTGGCTCACGCTGAATTTCTGATTGTCCAACTCTCCCACATCCTTCTCCACAGGGCTGCTCTGAATCACTTCTCCACCCAATCTGCAGCTGTGCCTGGGAGTGCCCCTGACCCTTGTACTTTGCTTTGTTGAACTTCATAAGGTTGGCATTAGCCCACCTCTCAAGCGTGTCAAGGTCCCTCTGGATCCCGTTCCTTCCCTCCAGCATGTACACTGCAGCACAAAGACTGGTATCATTGGCAAACTTGCTGAGGGTGCATCAATCCCACTGTCCATGTCATCAACAAAGGATCATTCCCAACACTGACTCCTGAAGAACACCACTTGTCACCGGTCTCATGTGGACACTGAGCCATTAACCACAATTCTGTGTGCCACTATCCAGCCAACTCCTTATCCACCAGGTGGTCCATCCAATCAAATCCACACCTTTCCAGTTTAGAGACAAGGATGTCATGTGGGACAGCGTCAAACGCTTTGCACAAGTCCATGTAGATGATATCAACTGCACTGCCCCTATCCATCACTTCTGTAGCCCTGTTGCAGAAAGCCACCAAATT